CCATACACTGTGCAATTTGATGTTTTGACGTATGGAAACACTCCTGAATTCATCACTACAATCAAGCTAATAAACATACCCATCACCACCAAAAGTTTGCTCTGCCCTTTTTTCTCCTCACTCCCAGATAACCATCCATCTGCTTTCTGGCACTATAGATGAGTTTGTATTTTCTAGACTTCTATATAAATGAAGTACTATGCATACATGTGTGCATATACACATATATTTATATATACACTATATGTACATTTTGTCTGACTTCTTACTCAGCACTATTAGTTTGACATTCATCCACATTGTTGCATGCATCAATAATTCACTAGTTTCTATTGCTGTGTGGTATTCCATTGTACAAATGTAGCCCAATTTGCCCTGTTCCCTGTTGAATATTTGAGTTGTTTCCAGTTTGGAGCTATTACAAATAAAGCATCCGTGAATGTTCGTGTACTGTCTTTGTGTGGATATTTACTTTCGTTTCTCTTGGACAAATAGGAATGGAATGACTGGGTCATATGGTGGATGTATGTTTAACTTATTAAGAAACTGCCAAACTGTCTTCCAAAGTGGTGGTTCTATTTTACATTCCCACCAACAGTGTGAAAGAGTTCCAATTTTTCCACACCTTCATCAACACTTGGTATGTTTAGATTTTAAATTTTAGCCATGCTAATAGATGTGTGGTAGTATCTTCATGTGGTTTTGTTTTGCGTTTCCCTAATAATTAATGATGTTACACATTTTTTGATGTGCTTATTTGCCCAATGTATGTTGCCTTTGCTGAGATGTCTGTTCAGATATTTTACCCATGTATTCTATTTGAGTTATTTTCTTATTGAATTTTAGAGTTCTTCTGTTTTCTAGATGCAAGACCTTTATTTGATGTGATTTGCAAATATTTTTTCCCAGTCCATGGCTCATTTTCTCATTCTCTTAACAGTGTCATTTGAAAAGCAGAAAATTTTAATTTCGATGAGCTATCAATTTTTTGTCTTATGGATCATTCTTTTGTTGTTATATTTAAGAAATCTCTGCCTAATCCAAAGTTGCAGAGATTTTATAGAAGTTTTATTATTTTATGTATATGCCTACATATATTTTGAATTAATTTTTGTAACTGGTAGGTGTGGATCAAAGTTCTTTCGTCTGATATTTTTACTTTTTTTTTTTTAATGTGGAAATCCAGTTGTTTCAGCATTGTCTGTTGAGTCACCTTTTCAACTTTGTGCAAATCAGTTGATCATATTTGTGTGGTTTTATTTCTGGACCGTAGTCTGTTTTCCATTGTTTTTTTTTTTTGTTTTTTTTTTTATGTCAGTGCTGCAGCTTGTTTGCTGGTAGCGTAAGTTCTTCAACTTTTATCTTTTTTCTTCTCAGTCCTTTTAATTTTTATGTAAATTTTAGAATCAACCTGTAGATTTCTAAAAAAAAATGTAACAAAAAAAAACCTCTGTTGAGGTGTTTATTGGGATTCCACTGAATCTGTAGATGATTTGGGAGACAACTGTCATTTCAGTTACCCTCCCGTATGATTTTAAATCCCAGTTACATTGCCTAGAGCTGTGTAAACCTGGACATTTTACTCAGTCTTTCTTTCTTTTTATTTTTTTCAGTGTGAAGGATGTTTATTAAATTTGTTGGGGTGACATTGGCTGGTAGGATCTATAGGTTTCAAGTGTACATTTCTGTGCCACATGATCTGTATACTGCACTCTGTTCCCAACACCCAGAGTCATCTTTCTGAGCCTCAGTGGAGGTGATTATTTACCTACCTCTATGGTAATATGAGGAATAAGTAAATCAATATTTAAAAAGTACCTTTGCTCTTATTTTCTAATCTCTTTCCATTAGGAATTGGATTTACAGGGTAATAAAGACACTTTTATGTCTTCAACTTTCAGCCCTCATTTACCAGCCATACTTTCATTATAATTTTATATTTGGAAAAGTCAGTCAGCCCTCATTTTACATAAGTGGAGCTGAGGTCCCAAGACAAGCGACTTGGTCAAGACTATTTAGCTAGCAAGATCAAATGAAAACTTCTAATTTTAATTTTAAATGTTAGCATGAGTTCACAGACTCCATTCATTCGTTACCTATTTATGTGTTGCCTATAAATGCCAGCCACTGTGCTCGGTCCTCTGCTGGCCTCCTGGGATAAAGGGAGAGGCCAATGGACTTCATTTCCTCTTCTCACAGAGCCTGTGGACGACTGGGAAACACAGACAAGAAGACAGCTACTTTTAATGTGACTAGTAGGTAAACTTAAGGGAAATTGTGGAAACACAGTTGAAGAGCAGCTAACCTGGAGCTGGGGGTCAGGGAATACATTTGTAAAGGAAGTGACCTTGGCCAGGTTTTAGGAATGTGGAAAGGAGGATTGGGACCAGGATGGAGGCAATGGAGAAAATGCACAGTTTGTATTCTGTAGATAGAACAAGCATCTGGATGCAAGAGAGAGAATGACTGGGGTGGTGTGAAAACGGGGGGGCTGTCAAAGGGAGGCTGCTGGGTGCGGTCGTGAACAGCATGAAAGCAGTGTCAGGTAGTTGGACTTGATCCTCTGGGTGTAGACTGCAGAGTGTTGAGACTAGATTTGCAGTTTTGGAAGATTCCTTTTATGTTGAAAACAAAGTAGAGAAGGAAGGGGGATGAGGTACTGGAGAGAGGATGATGCTCAGGAACAGTAGTGGCTGTGGGTGGGGACGGACATGGGGAAAGATGAATGACAGACCTGGTGTTGACACAGCGTTTTGGTGAAAGGAGATGGAAGGGTTAAGCTGATAACCAGGTGCCTGGCCTGAGCAAATTGGTTCACTGTTGTGGTGGTGGTGTCCTCACCTGTGTAGGAAATAGAGAAGCGGCAGCAGGTTTGGTGTGGAAAACAGAGAGGTCAGTTTGCTTATATTGAGTTTCACGTGAGGCTAGTGGAGGTGGCGTGTTGGGAGCTAGAGGCCCAGGTTTATGGGAGTCATAAGTGTAGAGAGAGACGGGGAGGAAGCTGTGAGGGTGCAGGAGATCACCTGCTGGGTGATGGGAGAACACGGGCTTCAGATGGAAAGTGGAGGATTATTGTCTTTACATTTTGGGTTTGAGAAGAAGCTCCTAATTTGGTTTTCTTGGACATTTTCAGTACCTTCATTCAGCATGCATTCAAGTACTGCTTCCTTCTTTCCAATACCTCCAGTCACACCCTTGTTTTCCTTGTCAAGTCTGGCCTCTTTGTAACAGGATCCATACGAGAAATGCAAACACAAGGTTCTCTGCTTCTAATTCCAGTAGTTGGGTAAAATTGCTCTAAAAGGCCTCTATTTAAGAATTATCTTTTATTCTTTAGTTATTAGCATGAAATGAAAAAGCCTAGTTAAATCTTAAGATTTTCATTTTGTGTTTCTCCAGGTATATAAACTAGAACCCAGAAGCTTAAAGAATAAAAATGAAAATGACAGCTTTCTAGAGGGTGTGGAGAGGAGGGCCTTGACTCATCGCCCTCATTGCCCAGTGGACTTGGAGGTGCCTGCCCAAAGCGTCGGCACTTTGAGGGGCACATTCTGAATCCTGGTCCAGTGCTTTTATTTTATGAGGAAACCAAAGGCTGAGTTTCTCTAGGGTTAAGTGATTTGTCCTTTGCCACTCTGCTGGGTAGAGAACAGTTGGCCTCAGAGCTGCCCGTGTCATGTGTGCTCTCTGCAGCATGGTGGTGTTGCCCCATGGAGGTATTTCCATTGTCACCATCTCCACGACCGCTCACGCCACCCCTGCAGCACTCCGGGTGACCGACCGAAGGGGTAAAGGGTAGCGGGGAAATGAAAAACAAGTGCTGTGCTCCATTGTTCTAGGTGTCAGAGCCCTGCTGGCATGTCCTCCGACAGCAGGTACCCTGACATTTTCAGGAAACGCTGTGCGCGGGGGTTTATTGAGTCAGCATCTCTTTCTGGTTTAGCTGCTCTGGGGCCGACTCAACTCAGGGTCACGGTGAGAATTCGACGTGTCTGTTTCATTGGTCGTATTTGGTGTAATGCCATTTAATTGCATAATGGTAAAGAAAGTTATGGTTAGTACACAAACATTTACTATTGCGTTATGAAAACTGAAAACATTCCCCGAAGGCTAAAATTTTATTTGATAAGTACTTAATGAGGAATTGGAAGACTTGCTTCAGTCATAGTAATAACTCACTTCTTTGACTTCACTAAGGCTTTAGCATTATATTAAAACCTTCCATTTTATGGATAAAGAAAAAGTCAGAAGGGGTGATAAAATCTGCCCAGACTTTGGCACTAATAAGGGCTGTTTGGTTTGAGATTCCTGAACATCCTGAATTCCTAGGCGCTTTCATTCTGAGGGTCACTCCTGGCCCAGCGTTCTGCTCAGTGCTCTGTCTGCCTGCATTCACCTCCTGTGAATGTTCTCGGTCCCCTCCTCCACCTGAGCCCCTGGCCCCACTTCCCCTCTGTAAACCACGCCCCCAAGGTCCGGGCACGTGCATTACTCTTCACTGAAGGTTGCTTGGGTGGGTGGGGGTGTAGGAGAGGGGAGAATGCAGGAGTGGAGACCATTACATGACAGTATAGTGAACAGCTTCAAAACTGAGTTTTGAAAATGCTGTGCCAATGTAAGATATTACTCTTGTTGATGCTTTGTAATCAAACAAAAAGAGGGGCTGATGGGAACCTGCATGGAATTAACATCATGTTCTCCCAGTTAAGTAGTAAGAGAATACATACTTGATTCTTGTGGTAAATTTATGCAATATAGGAGTTTCTTTTTGTGTCTTTTGTTTAAATGAATCCTTTATGTTAATAGATTTTAGCACAGATTATCAAACTTTCCTAACAAGGAAGTACAACAGAGCTTGGATAGTCAAGGTAAGTTAATAGTTGTTTCTTTGTTTCAAGTTATGTAACTGAGATTTGACACACAGCATAATGAATAAATGCATTGGCAAGTATGTGCCTTTTTTTCTGTATTACAAAGTGATCTTTCCTCTGTAATTTTAGGAAACAGATATTGATGACAGATATGGAGATTTGGATTCCAGAACAGATTCTGATATTCCAGAAATCCCACCATCCTCGGATAGAACCCCTGAGATCCTCAAGAAAGCTCTGTCTGGTTTATCTTCAAGGTATGGTTGGATGAAGATGAACATAATGGGTGCACAGATATTTTGTGGGGCTATCTTGGTCCATGTAATACACTTCACTGTTTCTCAGTTGGAGCTCTGAAAAAGAAAGCTGATACTTTTCACTATATGAGAGGCACACATGGCACTAGATGCTTAATGTGCCTCCTTTCATTTAGTCCTTAACGAGTTGTGAAGTATGAGAAAAGCAGACCTGAGAGGTGAAGGTTACAAGCTGTTGAGATGTGGACCTGGGATTCTTGTCCCAGTGTGTCAGAGTCCTGGAGCCAGTGCTCTATTTACCACACAGGTTGCCTTTTGTGGTGGTGGAACATTTAATAAAGACAATTCTGTATTCTCTGTTCCCTGTTCTTCAAATGCCAGACAGAAATAGGTCATTTTTTCAACTAGGTTTTAAATTGTTGTCCAAAACTCTACAACCCTTTACCATTTTATATTTGTGCTACATTTTAAAATGTGTCATCACCACCAACTTTTACCTAATTTTTATAGCCCTCCATTATATGCTTTAGTAATACGAATTATAAAATTTATAAAAGCAAAATAAATGTAAGCTTTTATTTGGATTAATATGTGAAATCTTAAATGTTGGTATGGAATAATTTTTCTGTCTTTTTAAACTGTGACACACAGTAAGAGAGACATTTTACACCACATCCCAAGAGACATTTTTCTAAACCACTTTCCCAAAGTACATGCATGTGTATTACTCTTTACTAAAGTTTGCTTGGGTGGGGGTGTAGGAGAGGAGAGGATGTATATTTTAACTGCTGCAAAAATGTTATGAAGCAATTCTTGCCATTACTGTGTGATTCCCCCTAATTTCTTTTCTGTTTGATATTATTCTGTTATTGAACAAACTATGTTGGATGTAACTTACTAAATATATTTTACCACCCATGGGGTCATAAAAAATGGTTTAGTCATATCTAGTAAATGTAGTATAAGTTTTTCTGCTTTTAATTTCTAGTATATAACCATATTAGAATGAAAGTTTTCATGATTTTTAAGCCAATGGAACAATTTTTTTGCTGTCATTAAAAGCATGATTATTATTTTAACAGTCTTGATCCCAGTTTTTTTCATGGCCTAGTTGACAGAAGTACCTTTGCTTTACAGTCTTACCAGGTCTATCTCAGACTTGACATTTTCTTATATTGATTTATAGAAGAAGGATGCTGGATTCCTATGTGTTATTAGTAATAATTTCTTAATAGTGAAGGTTCCACCCCTCTCTCCCTGTGTAAAGTAATAATAGCAAATAGTAGCAGCTGATATTTATTGAGCATATACTATGCTGGGCACTGCTCTGAGCACTGTACGTGTATTGACTGACTGATTCTTACAGTAGTCCTGTACCACAGGTACGGTTATATACCTATTCTGTAAATGAGGAAACTGAGGCACAGACATTTTATATATCAAAAGTCATGCAGCTAGTAAACAGTAGAAACACAGTCTAAATCCAGACATTGTACTCTATTCATAAAAGAATTGGTTTTAAAAAATGAACAATTGATAACATGTGACCAGTTTCAGTCTTCTCATGAAGCTTCACTATAAAGATGACATCAATGGCCCTGGCCAGTTTGGCTCAGCTGTTGGAGCATTGGCCTCCAGATCAAAGGGTTGTGGGTTCAATTCCCGGTCAAGGGCACAGACTTGGGTTGCAGGTTCGATCCTTGGCCCTGTCGGGTTCATGCAGGAGGCAACCAGTAGATGTGTCTCTCTCACATGGATGTTTTTTTCTCTCCATGCCCCTTCCACTGTTAACTAAAATTAATGGAAAGAATATCCTCAGGTGAGGATTAACAACAACAAAAAATATTACATGAGTGTTTCACAATCTTTATCTTATTCATTTAGCCTCTTTAGTGCCCCCAAATAGTATGCCTTGCAATGATTTAGAAGTTGTAGAGGCATAGGATTAAAAATACTAATTACATAAGAAATTTTGATAATTGAAGGAAGTAAGCCCTATAACCCTCCCACCATGACATTGATATTTAAAATATTGTGATGTTTACTCGAAGCTTTTCCTTCTTGTACATGTTTTGCCCGCATGTGTGTGTATGTGGTATGAGGATGGCATTGTACTGATCCTGTCTGTTTTCATTTTCATTCTGTCATATTAGGAACAAATATCCTTAAATATACGTACGTATTTTTAATGGCTGTGTGATAGATTCCTTTGTATGACTATAGTTCAGTTTCTTCAGTTAAACAGCTGTCACTGGGCATTAGCTGATTTCTAAATTCTCACAATCAAAAACAATTCTGCATTAAACATTTTTCTTTACAGATAACTTTTATTTAGCATCCATAATTACTTCCTTAAGGTAAAATCTTAACAGTGACATTGCTTGGTCAAGGTTTATGCTCACTTTTGAGGCTTTAATACATAATATCAAAAAACCGTCAGTTGTTGAAATTGGAAGGGGCCCAAAAGTTCTTGGCAAGTTGTCCCCGTCTGTTTCTTGACCTGTGTATGTGAGTCTTCATTAGCTCTGTCTTTAGTGACACTCTTCTTCAGCTATGGGTCTAGCTCAGCAGTTTTCATCTAGGGACAGTGCCCTGGATTTTGTCCCTGCTCCCCAGCAGACATTTGGCAATGTTTGGAGACATTTTTGGTTGTCACAGTGAGAGACAGGGCTACTAGCATCTAGGGGTGGAGGCCAGGGAGGATGTTCAATGCCCTACAGTACACAGAACAGCTCTTCACAACAAAGGATGATCTGGCACGAAGCGATACTAGTTCTGAGGCCGTGAAGCCTCAGGTGTAGCCTTACTGGTGCGCTTCTGCTCCCTAAGGCCACGTTGCTTCTCTCCGGGAGCCTGCAGGCCTCCTGCTCGCTCTCTCCAGAGGCTGGCACAGACGTTCTCAGACTCCTGTCCTTCGCCCAATGGCCCACCACGTTCTTGTTTACATATTTTTTAAAATATCTGTTTATTGATTGATTTTAGAGAGAGAGGAGGGGAGTGAAACATCGGTTTGCTGTTGCACCCAGCTGGGCATCTATTCTCTGACGTTCAAAGCCAGGCGTCTAACAGAGGTGCCCAGGGACATGGGCAGCATCTACCCCAGGGCTGATTTCTCACACTTACATGGTATCTGCTTCGCTACGAGAGGTTCTCGGTAATTCTGCGTCTAAGGAGCAGTTACACAGAAGGGCTAAGTAAGTGCCTGGGTTTCGTGCAAGCAGGTCAGGATTATTATTAGGAGACTGGCTTATGGTCCTTTATTTACCTCTGACCAGCGCTGTGACCTAACGCAGTTTTCTAATCCATTCATTAATCCACGGAGGGTTGCAGCCATAAAACCACATGGACCTTTCAGCTATAGCATGTTTGACTGACGCTCATTTCAGTTCAGCCCCAAAGCTTCCAGTCTGTGAGGAGTTTATGAGTCTACGTAGTTTGTTAAACAGTAGAGGGAAATAAAGTTGGGTAAGTACAGTTTGACCACCTCAGGAAAAATCTTGGAAGCTAGATAAAGGAGTTTGGACTTAATGTTGGCATTTTGGATCCTGAGTGCAGAAATGACATGATAAAAGGGATATTTAAGAAGTACTGGGACTCTATAGGAGAGTGATTGGAAGCAGGGAATGTAATCAATATTTGATAAACAGGTGAAATTGGCAAATATCTCTTTTATGGGAAGGAGAATAAAACCTTGCTTAGATATTATATATATATATATATATATATATATATATATGTTATTATACTTTAAATCAAATCCAGATATCTTGTAATATAATTTAAATGTTATCATTTGAATTGATAGAAGTCAGAAAAGTCTTAAAGAAAAAAACTTTACTGTGAGTATAATATAAAATGTGTGTAGAATGAGTAAAATGGGCAGCAATTTTAGATTAAGAAATCATCATCCATGTGCAGGTATAATTAGAATCATTTTACACGTTTCATACCACAGCTACTGACATTTTTCATGATATGACCACATAAAGAGTGACAGAATTTTTAAGGTACACTGGCAACAAAGTGAGAGGCTCTTGGAGGTGTGGGAGCAGATGGGGACCCAGACCCTGACTGACAGCTGCCCAGGGATTGAGGGAGATCAATTATCAGGGGTGCTGTGCTCTGAGGAATAAACAAAGGCCCAAAGATTAGAAAATATTTATTTTGTTTTTTAATCCTTGAGGATATTTTTTCTATTACGTTTCAGTGAGAGTGGGATTGAGGAAGGGAGAGGGAGAGAGAGATGGAAACATCAATGTGAGAGCGACACATTAATTGGTTGTCTCCTGCACGACCCCAGCCAGGGCCGGGTATCAAACCGCAACCGAGGTACGTGCCCTTGACCATAATCGAACCTGAGACTCTTTGGTCTGCAGGCCGACATTCTAACCACTGAGCCAAACCAGCCAGGGCAGAAAGTACTTTTTTACTAGTGGCCCTGTCCCTGACCAAGGAAAGCAGGCAGCACACTGAGCAATAGAAGGAAGTGACTTTCAGTTTGGCCTTGTCCTCTGCGACTGACCTTCTCATGCCTTCTTCATTTCACTGAACTCACTGTGCTCTCCAGTTTCAGTTCTGTATCAGCCTCTGTTTGCTTTTTCTCATTGGAAGGCCATGTGTTCTGCCTGTACCAGTTAAAATCATATTATTTTTGTCCAGTACCCCAAAAGATTGGTCATCTTTATAGTGGGCTTTCGCATCCAGCTCCTTCCCTTCTGAATGACCCTGGCAGATGTGCACATGTCCACATGATTCATCCTCATTCACAATAAACAAAAATCAGGGCTTTTCTTTGGCTAACATAATCTCTGCATTTAATTTAGCTTTGAGTGAATAAACCAATGCCATTTGGTGTTTTTGTTTTGTTTTATTATAAGGTAAAGTAAGGGATTCTTTTTCTGAATTCCTCACCTGAGGATATTTTTCTACTTATTATCAGATAGAGTGGGAGGGAGGGAGGGAGAGAGAGAGACAGAGCAAAACATTGATGTGATAGAGACATATCATTTGGTTGCCTCCTGCATGACCCGACCAGGGCTGAGAATGAACTGCAACCAAGGTACGTGCCCTTGACTGGAATCAAACTGGAAATTCATTGGTCTGCAGGCCGATGCTCTAACCACTGAGCAAACCAGCAAAGGCTAAGTAAGAGATTCTTAAAGTATACTTAGGAAAAATCCTTAGGTCCGGTAACTCAATAATGAAACCACACAAAAAATACTGTAAGAACACACGAAGTGCTAACTTTATAAACATTTTCTTTGCAGGTGGAAAAACTGGTGGATTCGTGGAATTCTTACTCTTACGATGATTTCGTTGTTTTTTCTGATCATCTATATGGGATCTTTTATGCTGATGCTTCTTGTAAGTAATTCCATTCCCCTTAGTAGCTCTTATTTTTTTTGTTTTTCAGCATTGCTATGATTGAAGTAATTGAGCATGTCATGGAAAAGAAAGTCATTTAAGACTTGGTAACAACACATTTAGTTACTTTAAGCATCTTCTAGTTCATGCAATGAACAGGGCTAATCTTTTCTGTTTATAAAATGGCCTTTGAATGTGCTCATTCAGCAGAGACCAAATATATATAATAGTCATGTCTTTTTGTCAGACATTGTGCCAAACATTAGATAAAACAGAAACACATGCATACATATGACTTCAACATGTGTGACTGTTTGCTAGATTCCTAACTCCAAGCATTGCAATCACATGGCAGAGTCATGTAAGTAACCATATGAATGAATTGGATAGTAGATAAATGGGGTAAGTCCCGTGGTAGAACTTGTTGGGAGAGCACAGTAGAAAAGTGCCTAAAACAGCCTGAGACAGAGATGAAAGAAGACTCTCAGAAGAGGTGATGCCACAGCCGGGTCCTGAAGGAGGCGCTAGACAGGGGGAAGGTTCCACAGTGGGGACATCATGGGCGAGGTGCGGAGGTGATGAGAGAATGTGGTCTGTTGGGGGATTTGCAAGTTACACATGTGGAGGGTGTCTGGGGATGAGACCAGAGAGGTGAGCAGAAGCTGTTCTGGGAGTTGGAGATTTTGTTGTGTATCCTTAGTCATGAAGCCAGGCAAGTATTTTAAGCTTTGCATTCATTCTTTTAGCAAATGCTTCCAGGATGCCTGCTGTGTGCCGGGCATTGCGTAGACCTGGGGTAGGATACGGTGATGCCGAGAAAAGCGCACCTGTCTGTGCTGTCACGGAGCTTACTATCTACACCTTAAAGAATTGATCAGAAACATAATCGCAAACTGCAGTATGCATTGAGCTAAAAAGAAATAGCAGGCTCTGAGAGCGAAGGGGGAGCTGGGAGACTTGTCAGAGGCATGTGCACAGCATGTGTGCTGAGGTCTGAAGATTGAGCAGGAGTCAGCGTGGGAAAGAGGGAGCTTGGGGGCAGGAGTGTCCCAGCAGAGGATCCCTGTGTGTAAAAGCCTTGGTGTCTAAAGAAGCGTGAAGCATTCGAAGCCGATGGGGGTGAGAAGGAGAAATGCATTTGTTCAGCAGATTCGTCACTGAGTGCTGAGCGTGGCTTAGCCGTGAGCAGGGAGAGCCGGCTCTTGGGGTATGCACAGTGCCCCTCTGTTTATTGCTTCTTTTTCTTCATCCCATCTTGGTTCGTTTAGCCTCTTCATATGTACTCACCCCTTTGTTTCCTGGTTGCTTGTGCCCACTTAGGATTCTGTTTGCCTGTGTCACCTGTCCTCTTCAGAGCGCTAAGCTATGGGCAATATGATAATGGTTTTACTTTTATTTTATAAAAGACCATGCTTTGAACCGAAATTACGATTGGGAAAAAGAAATTTCATAACCCCCTGAAACCACTTGAGGTAGCTTTTCTAAGCACCCTAAAGCCCTTTCACTTTGCTCTCTGTCCTCTCATTAATTTTGTTCTTCCCTGGGGATATCAAGGTCATAGAAATGAGTAAGACATTTCTTTCTGTGTTCTGTTAATTTGATGACATCTTGAAGAGTTACTTTGTTTTGTTTGTTTTTACAAAGAAGCATGGATAATGGATAAGTGACTTAATGTGAAGGCAGAAGATGAGAGTCTGAAAGCCAGGGAGGCAGGGTGAGCGTGTCCAGGTGTGACTGGGGAGAAGGGCCCCAGCTCCCAGGCTCCTCGGTCGGAACCCGCTGAGGGCTGCGAGTGCCAGACGGCCACCCGTGGCCTCAGGACTTGGGCATTGGAGATATAAGTGTGTGCAAAGCACTTGTCGGTGCTGTGTGGTGAGTGGTTGAGACTGGAAGAAGGGATTGGGTGATGGCAGACAGCTCATAAGTCTTTGTGTATGAGGGGAGGGACCTTTGAGTGGACTGGAGACTCTGTCAGGATGGAGAGAGTTCGGGTAGTGAGCAAAGGTCCTAACAGCTAGGAGGTGTGTCAAGGAGAGGCCGGCGATGCCCTTTCTCTAGAGCATGGGGCCTTTGCACGTGGAAGAATGATCTGGGATCAGGTTCTGGAGGACCTTGCAATACTATGTGAGAAAGTCTGGGATTTAGTTGGACAGCATTAAGGAGCCATCGAAAATATTGGGGATTATTTGAATTATGATTCTCCTTTAGAAGGTAATTTTGATCAAGACATTGCAAAAACACCCGTATCCTTGATACACTGACTCAGTGGGCTCCCTGTGAGTAAGTGACATGGTCTCCAAACTATACTGTCTGGTGTGGTGAATAGGGCCAGGAGTTGTAGAGAGACTAATTTTAACCACTCTTTTATGACAAAATTCAAAACACCCTTGCATAAAATTCAAGACATTCTTGCATACTTGGATTCTGATTTTTTGTTTTGTTTTGTTAATCCTCTCCCAAAGATATTTTTACATTGAGTTTTTTATTTTATTTATTTTTTTAGATAGAGTGGAAGGGAGGAAGGGGAAAGAAGAGCGAGAGAGAGCGAGAGTGAGAGAGAGAGACAGGTGTGAGAGAGACAGATGTGAGAGAGACACACCAATTAGCTGCCTCTCACACAACCCTGACCAAGGCTGGGGATTGAATCTGCAACCCAGGTACGTGCCCTTGACTGGAAATTGAACCTGAGACCCTTTGGCCCATGGGTCGTCGTTCCATCTGCCGAGTCAAACCAGCCAAAGCTGGATTCTGATTTTAAAAAAGAGAATCATAAACATACCTAAAGCACTCGGGCTTTTTGTTCATTTTTTTCTATGAAAGGAAAATTCTACTGTATTACAAGTCATTTCTTTGGCGAGCTCCATCAGAGAAGGATATAAGAATATTAAAGATGTAGTTGAAGTAGATGTGAACTGTTACTGCTCTTATTTAGGTTCATTGCATATGCATGCACACATGTCTGTACACAGGAACATGTGCAGATGTACATAGGCTGTATGTATGATATTTATGTTAAGGGAATATGGATGGAAATACACATAGACGCACACACTGTTGGTACTCAACTGACATTACTTTTTTGTGTTTTAAAGACTTATTTACATTTATATTTCTGAGTCATTTGTATTTTGAGTCATACACCTTGCATCCACCTTGCATTTGCCTAATAATATCAGCACTTAAAAATGACTGATTCAAGGGAATTTTATTAAAAACTTACTTCTAGGAAATTACAGCTGCTATTTTAAGGTGGAACTCATACTCATGTTCCTTAAAATGAGCTTTTTTCCCCTTTAAACTTCTATTTATAGTACTTTGGTTGTTGCAGTCACAGCTTGGAGTCACACTTTCTAAATGATGGAGGTACTAAAGCATGTTTTGACTTAAAGGCAGAGCTGCGCATATAGAAGATACTGTAGGAGGCCCTCCCCCTTGGAAAATAATAATTATTTTAATCTATATTATGTAATTTACTTTTTAGTAGTATATTTCATTTTTTCACCATTGTGAGAGTTATAAAAGTATAATAAAATTACTTGGGAAAGTAAATAATTTTAAAAAATCACCCCGGCCCACTCGTCAACCACCAAAACTTAATTAATACTGCCATTTGGTATGCTTCCTCTAATCTTTTTCCTTTCTTTTATCTTTTAAAAACCATGGTTGTAACATTATGTGGCTAAAATTCTGTATCCTGCTTTGTGAACTAAATATCTTACCGAATGTTTTTTTCGTGGCTCCACAGTTTTTACAACAATTGGCTTTAATGTACTGTATTCATCTGCTCAGGGGAATGGAGTGTCTCCTGGGTTATTAAACCATTGTGTTATTTTTAGACATTCAGGTTATGTTCTGGTTTTTTGTTATTGTGACTAACATTGTGATAAACATATTAGAATGTAAAGCTTTTCCATATGCAAAATTGTTTTTTTAACAGATTCCCAAAATGAAAATAGACACTTTTTTTTGTTTATTCTCACCCGAGGACATTTTTCCTTCTTTTGCTCAGATAGAGTGGGAGGGAGAGAGAGGAATAGAGAAAGAGAAACATTGACATGAAAGGGACACATCGAGTGGCTGCCACCCACACCACCAACCAGGGCCGGGGACAAACTGCAACCAAGGTACATGCCCTTAGCGGGAACCGAACCTGGGACTCTCTGGACCGCAGGCCGATGCTCTAATTGCTGAGCCAAACTGGCCAGGGCGAAAATAGACACTTTTAAAAAAATCCTCACCTGAGGATATTTTTCCATTGGTTTTTAGATAGAATGGGAGGGAGGGAGGAAAGGTGTGTGTGTGTGTATGTGTGGAGAGAGAGAGAGAGAGAGAAGGAGAAGGAGAAGGAGAAGGAGAAGGAGAAGGAGAAGGAGAAGGAGAAGGAGAAGGAGAAGGAGAAAGAGAGAACGAAAACATTGATGTGAGAGAGACACATTGGTTGTTTCTCACCGGAGCCAGGGATTGACCCTACAACTGAGGTAGATGCCCTTGACTGGGAATCAAACCTGAGACTCTGGTCCTTGAGCTGATGCCCTAACCTCTGAGCCAAACTGGCCAGGGTGAAAGTAGAGCCTTTGATTTGGGTAACCCATAGGTACCATAGCTCAGACTGAACATACGCAGATCTGAACTTCTATTCCAGCCTCAGCCATTCTGTGTAAATTGATTTCCCAGGCCTTCCCTAGTGTTATTCTTATTCCCCTCTCTCCTTCAGCCCCCCGATTTCCTCAGCCACCAAATCCTGTTAGTTCTACCCCTCGATGTCTCTCATTCCTGCACTCCACCCTCTGCCACTGTCCCAGTGAGATGTTCATCCGCACTCCATACTGTCTCTACCTTGGGTGCCCCTGCAGTTAATTTTTCCACTTCTCTTCAGACACTCATGCCTGGCCAGTCCTCTCATGGTCGGGACAGACTCCTCTGTGCAGTCCTTTGTGCTCTTCCCTATAATTCTCTCTACTTCTCACCCCTCCTTAGTGTGCCAGCAACTCTGAACCACATGCCCGGCCCCTGCTCTGTGCATAACTCTGACCTCCTCCTTTGCCCCGACTGTGGCCCACGCCACCCCCTTCCACAGTTTGTTTTTTTTGGGTCTGCCTTTGCTTATTTATACCCGTGTGACTATTTCTACATAGTATTAGTAGTCGTTGGTGTCCTCCCTGACAGACAAAGCCTCTCTGAGAACAGATGTCCTGTATAACTTCTCTGAATCAGTAGTAACTAGCAGAATAAGTATCCACAAAATGGTGGTTGTTTCTAAGGCTCTTAACACATTAATTGGGCCAACAGAGTTCTACCCGTGCACACTGCTCTCTGGATTGATGGCGCAGAGTATCAGTTTCTGTGTGATCACCCAGCCCTGGAAGATACACATATATTTTAGGGATTTTAACTCTAGTGTTTGAGTCCTGTTTTCTGTTTTCCCAGCAGCTCCATATTAATACTACTTGCTGTAATTGACAATCATATAAATATATGTTTGTGCTATTAAAAATACCTTTTTTCTCCTCTCAGTAAAATACCATATATATAGTGCTAATGGTTCTTGAGCAAATGTGTTCATAGACATTACATCAGTGTGTTTAAAACTTCAAAAGCCCTTGGTTCTATAAATAGTATGGGTTTACCCTTTTCTCTTAACCTCTAGCATTGTCCCCATTCTATAATTATTTTTGTTTAAAAATGACTTTTGGTGTTATGTATGAAGGTTATTTGAAGGACAGTGTTTAACTTTCCTCGTCTTTATAATACATTTATGACTTTTTCCTAAAAGAATTATGTATAGTAATTTGGCACAACAATTTCTTATCGTGTGGCTGAGGGGACACAATTAGTTCTTTAAGTATGTGATTGAACATATAATAGGTATAGTGGGGAAAAAGACCTTAAGAATATCCTGAGCATCCCTGGCCAGTTTAGCTTAGCAGTTAGAGCATCGGCCTGCAGACCAAAGAGTCATGGGTTCGATTCCAGTCAAGAGCATGTACCTTGGTAGTGGTTTGGTCCCCAGCCCTGGTCGTGGTCATGTGGGAGGCAACCAGTTGCTGTGTCTCTCTCATCAATGATCTCTCTCTCTCCCCCCCTCTTCCCCCCCCTTCTCTCTCTCTCTCTCTCTTCCCTTCCTCCCACCCACTCAATCTGAAGACAAATGGAAAAATATCCTTGGGTGAGGATTTAATACAAAATAAAAAGATTATCCTGAGCAGTAGGTTTGGGACGGCTAAGTTGTGGATATCATACAAGAAATCCCCAAGTGTATCCTTGGGCAGAGTTTGCACGCTTGTTCTGCAAAGGACCAGATGGTAATATTTTAGGTTTTAAGAAGCCACATATGTCTCTGTCACATAATCTTTGAGTTTTCTTTTCTGTTTTTAATTCCCTAAATATATAAAACCCGTTCCTACCTCCAGTGCTATTCTAAAAGCCCTTTGGTTTACTTTTAGAGGTTGAAAAAGTTAGGCTGCTATATTCACAAAGATTTTAATCTCTTGTTCATGGGAATAAGTGTTCAACTTGCCATTTGCTCTTTTAGTCTTGGAATCAACTTCCACCCAGCACCGTATGTCCTGCTACAGCCTTGGGGGTCACCTTTACCCAGAGTGGTGGCTGAAGCAGTTTGAAAGACATCAAAATGGGGTTCATACATAGAAACTCATTTACTAGGCGTGTGTGTGAGACACTGCGAACAACGGCATAGACGCGACCGACTGGCCAGAGTGTCTGTAAATGTAGAAAGCTGCTCATGACTCACCCGGGTAGCAGTGCGTGGGTTGATAGAGGTGTACCCAGCTGGCTGTGGGGCACGTGGCACCGCCGGAGGAGTGAAAAGACCACGCCCGAAGCCCTGGGTGCCTCGGTAAAGCTGCCTTAGCCATTGGTCCTGACAGTGCCTTCATCATTGGCAACTGGTCTAGGGTGTATGATTCAAAATAAATATAATCAAGCAAACTTTCACATATGGTTATTTTCCTAGGACAATTCAAGAAACAAAATGGACTGAAAGATGGCCCATCTTGAGGTGGACAACCTCAAGAAATAAAGTTGTAATGAGGGATGAAACCTAGAACCTTGTGACCAACCAGATCATATCCCTGAAACTTGAAATTACACAGCCACCTGACCCAGGAAGCATCTCTATAAAACCTTGTTTGCTTACCCCTATGGGACATCACTGCAGTTTTGAGACATTAAATACTGAATTTTTGCTACTGACATTTAGAATAATTAAAAATGGGTAGGCTAAAATACATGTGACAACAAGCTACTTATTAAATGATTGAGCACAAGTGTAAACATTGAGAAATATATGTCAATGTTTTCTCTTGGTTTTAGGTTCTAGGAATCCAAGTGAAATGCTTCCATGAAATTATCACTATAGGTTACAGAGTCTATCGTTCTTATGATCTACCGTGGTTCAGAACACTAAGCTGGTAAGTAACTTAAACTTTCAAGTATGAAAATCTGACTCTTCTTGGGTTTGTAAGGCAGGCGCTCTGATCAGTCAGTATCCACACAGTTGATCTTATAGATTGATTTTGGAGAAAGATAAACTACAAAATGCAACTGAATTTTGAAAAGAAGAAAATCACCTTTAACTCTCCCATTCCAACACAACTGTTTTCATATTCCATCATTCACTCTTTGTAGAGATATCTAATTTATATCGAATGTATACACCGTTCTTGTCCTGTTTAAAAAAACCCTCAATATTGGACACGTTTGATATTCTTTATAATTACAATTTTAGCAAAAGTTTCATTTTATAAAATGTTACAAATGTGTAATCCTTTGCTTTTTTCTCCCTCAGTTAACATGAGGCCACACATCAAATTAGATATTTCTACAAAGACTGAAAGATGAAATATGAAAATAGTTGTGTTTTGGTGGTGGTGGTGGTGGTTTTGAGTGAGCAATGGCTTATTCGGGAGGGGAGGGTCCAAGCTAAGTATGTGTCTCCCATCTCTGCCCCTGCAGTCTGGGCCCACATTCTCCATAGCCCCCTAGGCTCCGGTTCGGTGAGGGGGCAGTGGAGGAGGGGTGACTTTGGTTGCTTTGGTTTGGTCTCCTCTCAAGGCCTTGGGCCCCAATATGTGCAATATGAAGAATAGGTAGGGGGTGAGGCGCTCTTGTAAATAGCACTGGCCAACTCACCAGCCCATGAAATATTGTATGTGCACAAATGCATGTAAACATTAGTAAAATAAAATACCAAATGCTTTTACTATTTAAAATTGTGTATCTTTTAAAAACTTTTCAGGGACATTCTCGGTTAGTAGGACCCTAACCGGGAAACATGATAATATGATAGTTCATGATGAACCTAATTGGCCATGCCTTAGAACATAGCTGTTTTATCAGTATCAGCCAAAGGGGCTAGTGTCTTATTAAAACAAATGTACCATTTTTGGGGTTCAGAATAGTCAAAAAAATAGTTTCTTGATTTTGGTAGTAGCTGATTTTTCTTCATGAGTGGCAAAGTGCACGGGAAATGTTAGGTAGATTGAGTAGCTGGAGAATAATTAAATGTGAAACCTTGCAGGATTGATTATAAGTGTAGGAAAAAAGGGTAGGTCAGGAGAGGCCCCTGTGACTGTAGGGACCTCAAGGAGAAGGTAAGAGAGAACCCGTCACTTGAAGTAAAGACACAAGCTCCTGGTGGGAAGCAGCACCCATCACGTTCTAGGTGTGGGGCTATGGAGGCATGCGCCTCAGATGGTGACATTCCTGGCCCTCCTGAGCAGAAGGTATTTATTAGGATACAGTGGGCAAAAAGTTGTATTGGTGGGCTAGAGTAGGCCTTGATGCCTTACAGAGGAGCCAAAGATGGCTCCCCGCGTGGGAGAATAGAAAAAACGGTAGCACAGCTGATAGAAATGCAAATTCTTGCCCTTTACTTTGAGAACAGTGGGGCTGATTCTGTATTCAAGATCCAGAAGGAAGCCCCCCCTTTCCTTTTCTGTTCTCCGGCAACCTAGGACTCTGCCCTTCCAAGGACGAGGCACTATGAACTCTAAGGCAGGGTTTCTCAGCCTTTTTTCTGGCTCACACAAGCTCCTATCAGCAAAATCTCATGGGTTCAACCTTTCCTTGCGGGGAAAGATGTTCCAGAACTTGGAGGAGGGACAGGTGATTTATGTAGTTTTTAGAAGTTTCTCCTGGAGATTTTTACCTGCTGCTACTGCCCATCCGCACTGCTACCCCTTAAAAATCACTGTTTAACAGGAGTCCAGCTGGAGCATCGAGGAGGGGGAGAAAGATGTGCGGGGCAGACGGGAATTCGGCTTAGGATGTCTACTAGTAAAAAGCATTAGAGCTGTGAGTAATTGGAGAGAGAGAGAGGGGGCAGAGAGATTGAGAGTATTTTCTATTTTTTTCCCCTTATTATCTTTGTCTGGCATTAGATTTTGAGTTAAATAAAGGTATAAACTATATTTAGTAAACTTTTGTTGACAGATAATTTTGAAATTAAGTTTAAACAGGATAAAAGCATTTGGTGGCTTGTGTCCTGAACTGATCTTCTGAACTTGGTTTTGATCTTTTTTTTTTTTATCCTCACCCGAGGACATTTTTTTCGTTTTTTGTTCAGATAGAGTGGGAGGGAGAGAGAGGAAGAGAGAGAGAGAAACATCGGCGTGAAAGGGACACATCGAGAGGTTGCCACCCGCACGACCCATCCAGGGCCGGGGACAAACTGCAACCAAGGTACATGCCCTTAGCGGGAACCGAACCCGGGTTTCTCTGGACCGCAGGCCGACGCTCTAACCGCTGAGCCAAACCGGCCAGGGCTGGTTTTGATCTTTGTATCGTCATCAAAATGCAGAGTATAGTTTTATGGAATTTGGGGAGGGGGGAAGCTTCAAATATAAAACTAATTGTTTTTAATTTACAGGTACTTTCTACTATGTGTAAACTACTTTTTCTATGGAGAGACTGTAGCTGATTACTTTGCTACATTTGTTCAAAGAGAAGAGCAACTTCAGTTCCTCATTCGCTACCACAGATTTATATCGTTTGCCCTCTATCTGGCGGGTAAGTTCATGAAAATACTCTGCATTGATACATAACTAATATAGCTTACATGTTAACTTTCATTTATGTTGTTTAAATTCATAACATCCTTTATTTGTTATATTTTCATCTGGCTGCTTTTTTAATGGTCCCATGTAAAAAGTGATTCTTTTCTATTACGGTCTTAAATAGCAATTATTCTCTAATGGTGGTTTTAAAAAATACTTGTTTAATGGTCACTCCATATATTTGAAAATTTTCTTTGCAAACTGTAGTAAAGAAACATTTAAATATGTGGATTGATAAAGTCTAATTTACGAAGAAACTTTCACATGTATATGCTTTATTTGTTCCCAGGTAATAGTTTTCATATAGAATTAATCAGGGTACTTAGTTTTCCTGACATGGTTTATTATATAGTCACAATATGTGCATTTATATATAACTATTATATATGTTTGTTTATAGTATGCTATGCCACGTATTCGTTTCTTTTTTAATCTTCACCAGAGGACACGTAGAGAGAGAGGAAGGGAGGGAGAGGGAGAGAAACAGGAACAGAAACATCAGTGTGAGAAACAATGACCAGTTATCTCCTGCACACACCCCAACCTGGGGTCAGACACGCAACCTAGATATGTGCCCTGACTGGGAATTCAACCCACAACCTTTCGGCTACAGGATGACGCTCCAACCAAACTGCGCCACACCAGCCAGGGTCACATGTTATTTTATGATTTTAGATTAAGAATCAGATACTTAGGATAAAGTTAGGATTATAGATTTATTTTCCACTACAGTTTCCCAATCATATAAAAATTTCTAACACATCGATTTAGATATGTACTTTTTAAATGTCAGATTTACATCATTAAACAGGTGTCTAAAATATCACGGTCCATATAGCGTCTATGATTACATTTTCATTCTTCTACATTTTGTTCTTCTTGAGCTTAACTGCTTCACCTTTTCTGAACATTTGTAAATTTCTGTGTAGTGATTCATTAATTTTTCCTTCAGGCCTGTCCCGTATCTGTTGGTAGCTTTTTCATATGTTCACACAAATCAGATAGTGCATCAGTTCTCTTTTTTCCTGGAGACCCCTGTTCTAGAGACTTCTGTGGTGGTCCCATTCGGACTGGCTGCTAGTGGGTCTGCTGCTTACCTGTCATGATTTGGCCTCCTCATTTCTTGTCTCGGGCCTCCTAAGTTCTGGGCTTGCACCCTCATTTTGCTGTAAGCGTGGTCTCCAATATTTTCCTATGGAATGTGCTTAGAAAGTAAATGTCTAAAAATACTTTTATTCCATTCACACAGCTGACTGCTTTGGCTTGCCGACGTTTTACTTAATTATTACTTGCCGACTTTTACTTAATACTCTAGTTTAGAAGCCCAGGCCTCAACCTTGCCTTTTACTGAGCCTTTTCTGCTCAGTTTTCTCTTGAAAATACTACGAGCTGTCCCGGATTTCTTAGGTTCGCTAAAAATTACCCAGTCTCTTTTGCAGCTTTCAAATTTTGCAGCCATTTTTCTCCTCTGGTCTTCAGGTCTCTTTGCTCTGTGGGTTTTCTTTGCTTGTTCTGTGGGTTTTGCCTACACATTATTTTAGTGGGCTACCAGGACGGAATAGAAATAAATGACAGAAATCCTAACTAGCTCAGTTAGGATTTTCCCTTGTTTTTCAACAACAGCTCTCTATTTTCTGTGATGGACCCAGGGGCTGACTGGGCTTCAGTGCGCAGCTGGAACTACGGGCCTCTCCTTGGTGGCCGTCAGAGGGAGGCAGCGCTAGTCACTCAGTCTGGAGGGTCTGGGCGCCCGAGAGGGCCTGCTGGGGCCACGGTAGTCCTGGCTGTTGACTTGAGCGCCTGCATTTGGCTTCCCGTGGGGCTCGGATGTCTCTGAGCACCGTGGGTGGGTTCCGAATGGGAGTGAGTGTGCCAAAGCCGTGTTTCAAGAGCCCTTAATTATTTTTTTTTTTTTAAGTGGTTTTCAAAAATGAAAGCATGATACATTCCCATAGTGAAATTTCAGACCAAAAAAGAATAGTCAGTGAAATCTCCCTCCTACCTCAGAGCCTTACTATGTCCAAGGGCTCACTGCAACTGTTACAGGAAATTTTAAAAAAATCTTCACCCAAGGATATGCTTTCATTGATTTTAGAGAGAGGGTGAGGATGCACCCCAGTGGGATCAAACCCACAACCTGGGCACGTGCCCTGAACACACGAATTGAACCTCAACCCTTGGGTGCACAGGACGACACTCCAACCAACTGAGCCACACCAACCAGGGCTGCAGACATTTTTTCAGTGTTCAAGATTATATATTATATCTTCCATTCCCCCTCATGTATATATTTTTTAAATACACATGAGAGCAAACTATTCTGAACCCGCTTTTTTCCACTTGCTGGGCTGTGGGTGGTTTTGTGCTGGTACATCTGAATGGGCCCTTCTGCGTCCCTGCAGCCACCCCTGTGCCTGTGCGTCCAGCAGTGTCTGTGGGCAGAGTGTCAGAGAGGGAGGTGCCACCGTTTCCTGGGCTTACTTCCCCTTGGCGGTTCGCTCTAACTTATACTTGAGAACAACTTCTCAACTGAGTGGTACGGAGGATGTACTTCAACTCTCCTTTTGTAAAATAAAACCAGTGTTTCTTCTTTTTCTCGGACTGATTTCTGTCAGAGAAATAGCTTACCCCTTGCAGTTTCGGTCCGTGGAACCCAGAAGCTCACTGAAAGTCATCAGCCGTTTTTCCAGCAAACCTCTGCGTGCTGTGAAGGGTGTGGAGGAGCCGGGGCACAGGGCCCACAGGGTGCCTTCCCGGGTCTTGAAACCGGTGGGACGCGCGTCCCCCAGTGCATCACAGAAGGATGAACAAAGACCTCAGAGCAGGCAGAGGGGAAGGAGGGCCTTGCTGTGCGTGGAAGGCCTTTGAGAAGAGATGACCGGTGTCAGGAAGAGTCAGGACAAGCAGGCATTTGCCGGGTGGGGAGGGGAAGAGCATGGCAGGCAGAAGGAACAGCGGTGCACGCTTGCTCAGGAATGAGAGGAATGCGGGTGCTGGGCTGGTGGCAGGAATTAAGGTGGAAAGGTAGGCAGGAGCCACATCGCGAGAAGCTGTGTCTGTTGTGGGAAGGGTTTGGAAACCACTGGGATTTTAAGCCAGGAGATGATGAAACCAGATTTTTAATGAAATGAAAGATGAGTTGGGAGATACTAATAGGGTGACTAGATAGGAAAACTGCTGCTGTAATCCCCACTAAATAGAATGAGGACCTGAGCCGTTTAGGTTTGTATTTAATACAAAGGGGTTGTAAGTTAAATAAAAATACTGTAGGCTGATCTTACAAACTACCTGCTGTTTATGGCGTGAAAAGTTTATTTTGTATCACAAAAGTATTGGCTCAAAATGTACTCTTTGTTGAGATCATTGTGTCTTCATATGCACTTGTAAGAAATAGTGGAGACATCCCTTACGCACTTTGCCCAGTTTCCACCAATGTAATATTTACAAAACTATAGTATAATATCATACCTGCATATCGATGTGACTATAGTCCTACAAATGTACTTTTACAATACAACCTTGTAGTAAGCTAGGAGCTACTGGATTCAGTGACAAAAACGTCCAATACGAATCGCCAGTAGCATTCTATATCTGCTGGCCTAAATACTAAATATGGTCCCGTTAGACCATAAGCACCAATTTGTGTCTTTCTCATTTTTTGTTGTAGTTTTTTTGTTTTTAACTGCCAGTGCCTAGCACAGGGCCTGGAGTTTGGTTCCCAGTACGCATTGTTGGATGGATGGTCAAGAGGCTGAGAACATGCACCTTCACACACAGTGCTTCTTAGAGGTCATTTCCCAGCATCACTGTTGCGTCTGCTGGGTTTTGAGGCCTTACTGGTGACCGTTGAAGTGGTTATCTGCAAAACCACTTGTAAGTTTTAATTAAAGACTGTTAGAAACTTTACACATCCTACTGTTCTTTTTTTTTTAATAGATTATTTATTGTATTTGATCAGTTTATCTTTTTTTTTTTTTTTTTATCCTCACCCGAGGATATTTTTCCACTTTTTGTACAGATAGAGTGGGAGGGAGAGTGAGGAAGGGAGAGAGAGCGAAAAACATCGACGTGAAAGGGACACATCGAGTGGCTGCCACCCGCACGACCAACCAGGGCCGGGGACAAACTGCAACCGGAGTACGTGCCCTTAGCGGGAACCGAACCCAGGTCTCTCCAGACCGCAGGCCGACGCTCTAACCGCTGAGCCAAACTGGCCAGGGCCACATCCTACTGTTCTACACCTTAAATTTGCCATGAAGACTCATAGGAAACTTTTATCTTAGCTAATGTATATTAGCTAATAAGGTTGGTTTGTGTGACAGCTTCTACAACACATAATCACTTAAAACCATTTTTAAATAACTCAGATGTAGTCCAGTGTCTGAATATAGGCACATGTAATGCTGTGTGCTTCTGCATTTATTTAATAAGATGTTTGAAACATTTTGGTGTTTTGATTAGTTATGTCAATGTAATGAAAAATATAGCCGCATGAAAGAATGAGGGATGAGTCAATAAGCTCCATTATTTAATCCTGGGTCTATCTTACTGTCTGTTTTTTAAATTAAGAACTACATGTGTTTAACTGAATTGGTTAATCACCAATAGTAAATTTTAAAAATAACTTTATTATTTCTTTATATTTTCTGTCTCTTCAGCTAGATTATGAGCTTCTTGAATGGGATTGCCTATCTTATTTAATTTTTGTATCTTGTGTCTGGTACATCTTAAGTGCTTAATAAATAGTTTTTGATCGTCCATTTTTTTTTCTGCAATTCCCTCTATCCCATCATTTGGACTTTTTGATGTCTTTTTTCCCCTTTACTTCTCCTGACTGCTTTAGAAATCTCATTCTCTTTTACTCTTTTTGAATATACCTCCGTTTGGTCCATTGGGTAACTGGGTCTTCCTACCCACCTGGAATTCCTTGGTACTAGGCAATAGAATGTCCATCTTTGTATGGACAGCACTAGGCACAGCACTATGTATATACATGGTGATCAGTACATTTAACTAAACATAATTAATATAAAGAAGTTAGGAAGTGTTTTTCAATGAATACTTTGATTTATAACACTATAAGAAATCCTATGATTTTTTTTTTATCTTCATCAGAGGTCATGTTTTTATTGACTTTTAGAGAAAGAGAGAGAGAGAGAGAGAGAGAGAAAGAGACAGCGATCAGTTGCTTCCCGTACATGTCCTGACTGGGGAAGGGGACTGGGGGTGGGGATTGAATCCACAACCTAGGTATATGCCCTGACTGGGAATTGAACCCACAAACTTCTGGTGTAGGGACGACACTCCAACCAAGTGAGCCACCTGGCCAGGGCATAAAATCCTATGATTTTAATTGGAAATATAACCATACAAATACTCTTTGTAATTAGGGAAAAAGTAAAATTATGGATCCATGTACAGTGTTACCCTTTCCATAGATTTATTGAAATACAATATATATGTTATTTTACACATTTAAACAAAATATACATATAACTTTACTGTTGTGAACCAAATCGTAAATTCATGTGTTTCTTTTTCAGATACTTCTTCTTCCTTCTTTTTTGTCCTAAAAGAAAGGGTTTGTTGAACCACATGCTAGCCAGAAAAAGGCCCAGTTCCTGGGACACAGTGCAGTGCAAACCAGCAGCAGCAGGGCTGGGGGAGACTACCAATCCCCAGATGGTTTTCTAAAAAAATTAATATTTAACCTTAGATATGCTGGAAAACACTTTATAACAACCATCCCCCCAAATTGAGAGAACTGGATTATCTTAATGCATCTAGGATCTGGATAATTACGTATGCTATTAGAGTACCCTAACAAGCTACATGTTACAGGTTGATTTAATGGTGAACTTGGATCAGGTAAAAGTGAATTGCCAAACTGTCCTAGATAAAATTACCGCTGGGAAAATATCAAATGATTCTGCTGGTAATTTTTTTGAAGAAATGCTAAAGAGTGAATGGTATTGTATAATTTCAAGAAAGAGAAACCCATACCTGCTGCAGTAGTATTTGTGAGGAGATAACTCATGCTTAATGACGTTAAGAGTTCCCAAGGTTGTGCTGGGAGAGTCAGAGGGTTTGTTTGGACAGAACGTGTCTTGTCTCTGCTTTGCTGTTGCCCCATTAGCCTCCTTCTGAACCAAGTCCAGTCTATGTTCACCCCGTTAACCATGGACCAATGACATAAAACCGCATAGAAATTACATTTTTACTTGAGCCACAAAGTAAGTGTACATGCTATAGAAGAAAAGTTCAAAACCAATCATTTTAAAGAGGTCTTATAAACTACTGGTGATTTCAATGCCATGAATTCCATGTTTTAATCCCTCCCTTCCTGCTTTCTTTTTTTCTCTCAAGAAAATGACATGATGGCTTTCAGTTGTGCCTCTGCTACACAGAAAATGTCCCTATATTTCTTTTGCAGTTCATCCAGTCAGATCACTCTGTAGGTATCTAGTAGGAGGTGAGGTAGGATCTGGGAGCCAGTATGCATTCTCTTCCTTTGTCACCATCCTTGTATTACACTGACTTTTCAGATTAGTCATCACAATATAGCTAAAGGGAGCTGCTGTTTGGTTCGTGGCTCTGGTCAGAGTAGTATCAACCTTGCTTACCTTGGTGAGTATAACTTAGATGTAGGAAGTCTAGCATTCATATGGGATAGATGATTTGACAATTTATTTTCCGTCTCAGAATTCACTAAAGACATTGAAGAATAGAATGTGTAGGTGACTTTTATCTAATTAAACTTGGTGTGTGCATTTCCAATATCCACCTCTGTAAAACAAACAAACAAACAAAAAAAACCATTAGAAATTTACTGCTATATTGGGCAAAAAGTGTTCCATATTTGCTTCCCATTATTTTGGTATATGATATTAGAGTTCACCTAAATAGGTAGAATTTTTATTTAGTACAATTTCATCATAATAAATTTGTAGGACAGAAACATAAACACTAATTCTGTTTGTAAATCTTGAAAGTATTAAGAGTATTATATTTTACTATAATTATTATATTATAGTTCTGAGACATTTCAAGTCACCCTTAACCTGAATCTTGCTGATAATGGTTTGTGGAACCACAGTCGTAAGGGTCATTAGGATCTGAGGGTTTAATGCTTTTTATCCCTGTGATACTCAATAAATTAATAAAGTCCTTTTTGTATTTTTCTTCATCTGTAACATTGACACATAATAATAGGTGTCTACATCATAGGGATGTTGGAAGGATTAAATGAGTTAATACTTGTAAAATACTTAGACAAGAACCTGGAACCTAAGAAGTATTCAATAGATGTTATCCACCATAATAATTATTATTAATTTTTATATTATGCAGAGGTCGCAACATTCTGTACATATACATGATAGACTGATAGAGCAAATAAATTGTATTCAACTGAAATTCAAGATCTGTTTTTCCATGTCCACATATTAACAAGAGACTAATTCACTGAACTAGTTCAGGGAATGTTCATTGAATTTATGCATTGGAATATATTAGGCATTTTGAAGAATACAGTATCATTTCCCTCAAGAAACTATTACTAAAAATACTTACTGTAAGAGGAGGACAGATCCCATGTAAGCAAGTGGATAGAGTATACAGTTGGCTCATTTGGACTCCATGAGTCTTACCCTTTGTAACAAATTGCGCAACAAGCACATGTTCTTGTTCTCGAGCAGGCTTCTGCATGTTTGTGCTGAGCTTGGTGAAGAAACACTATCGACTGCAGTTCTATATGGTATGTATTAATCATTTCTTCTGTAGTCGGTATTGTAGAAACCCTGCCTTACCTTTCTTTTTTGTTGTTGTTGTTTTTTGTTTGTCTGTAGTGAGAAGATAAAATGTAATCTGCTAGTTGATGCCTACATGTGAGGGGTAGTTCAATTTGGGGATGACTATTAAACACAAAAGGGTGAAGTTGAAATATTTTTGAGGATTTAAAATTTTTAACTGTTTTCAAAGTTTCCTAAGAACTTTTTCTTTGAATATTTTCAAAGGCTATAAAATTAAAACCAAGCATTTGAATTCCCTAAATTTGTAGAAGTTTGAAGCATTTCCATAGATTCCGGAATAGTTGTTAGTCTGAGAAGCATCTACCATCTTTCTCCATGGAAAGTAAATAACTATGTTTGACTCACTCTTGGTTGAATATAAAGGGAACAAAGCATGTTAGTCATCAAATTGCATAATTCTTTTTAGCCCAAGGTATTTTATTTGGTTTATCATTGAACAGTGTTCAGTGTTTTATGAAATTTATCTCTGTGTATGATGAACTTTTCTTATTTCCTTAAAAGGTAGTTAATTATAAGACTAAAATGAAAAATGTAGTATTTATATCTGTGACTTCATGTATTAGTAAAGCTTGTTTTAGATTTGGGATATATTTTCTATCCTTTATGCTTTGCTTTTCTCCATTAAGACTTCCTGCTGAGCATTAGTGCTGAGAAATTGTAATATATCTTACATTTCTAATTTCTGGAGATCTTGAGAAGAAAAGAGTAAAATTTTCAATGAAAAATCTAGAAACCATCAGGACAAATTAGAAACAATAGGAGCTCCTATGAAAATATAAATGGTGCCTATTGGAATAAAATAATGTATGTAGTTTTAAGCAACCAGGGTAAAAGAGAATTGGATCCTTTAAGCAGATAAAAGTAAAACAAAACAGTATCATATTTGCTGAAATAGAAAATAGGTTTGTTATTAATGAATCAAAGTCTAAGAATTTTGAAAAGTAATATATTTCAGTAAAACATGACACTAGCACATAGAAACATGAGCTTCTTTTCATTTACATTCTACTCATATTGATGATGCTGAAGGTCATTCAGGCCCTGAAACCCAGAGGCCTGTGGACACCTGAAATTGCCTACTACGTTGAACGGAGTTGTGAAGATCAGCTTTCAGGGGTGGAAGGGTGGAGTGGAGTTCAAGGCCAATAGATCGCTGCTGGTTTGAATCATTCAAAGTTAGAAATAACTCTTTATAGGGAAAAAGTTACCATAATGAACTCTGAAAGAAAAATGGAGTTTAGTTTTTAGTAGCCTAAGTGAAATATTCCTCTCTAAATGCTGTCACCACACCACATATTTCTCATTGCCATTTAATCTGATGGTTCAAGACGACGGTTTATATTTTGTGTGTTTTTAAATTTATCTCGGTATTATATGCATTCCATTTGTATATAAATTAAGATTACTTTTTTTATGCTTTCATGGTTTTAAGATTCCAGTAAGCACCAAAATGAATATAATTTGCTAACGGCATTTATTTTGTATGACCTTATCTTACAAAATTTAACCAAAAATCATGCTAGAAAATTTGTGTTTAAAAACTGCTATTGCTTCCTGGCTGCACTGTTGAGTTGTGTTCACTAATTGTTGTGTTGTTGGGCTATTAACAGTTCGCATGGACTCATGTCACTTTACTGATAACAGTTACTCAGTCACATCTTGTCATCCAAAATCTGTTTGAAGGCATGATATGGTAAGGGGACAGAATTATGCTGCTTTATATTTATGTCATAGCATTTTTAAAGCTCTTTCACATTGAACAGTGCCTTACAGATTTCTACTAAAATGTGCTATTTGTTGTCGCCCTGTTCCATTAAAACACCTTACTAAGTTTTGTTTATTTTACTATTTGACACCTGAAGACAAACACGTTGTTAAGTGGGAATATTTCTTATTCAGGTTCCAAATAAAATGAAGAAAGTCCTTATAAAAGTTTCAAACTATTAATTACATTTTCAGGTTTTACTATGTTTGAATGTGACTTTTTACAAAGCACAGCTTTTAAAAAGAGCAGATTATTTACGTGGAATGTAGAAGGAGCCTGAGTCCACTTGCCAGCACTGGACTGGCCATGCGTTTTGTCCAGGTGGGGGCTGGGCTCCACTCTGCTTGTGCATAGGAATCAGTGTTCAGACTTCAGGTGTGTGGAGTTACTTGCTATAAGCAGTGGTTTGCAGATTCAGAAAGCATTGTTTTTTTGTTTTGTTTAAAATTTTTATTTCTTTATTGATTTTTAGAGAGAGAGGAAGGGAGAGGGAGAGAAAGATAGAAACATCAATGAGAGAAAACATCCATTGGCTGCCTCCTGCATGCCCCCCACTGGGGATTTGGCCTACAACCTGGGCATGTGCTCTGACTGGGAATCGAACCAGGACCTCTCAGTCCATGGGACGATGCTCAATCCACTGAACCCACACCGGCCGGGCAGAGAAAGCATATTTGTATGTTTAAAATTATAAAAATTACTTAGTTAAAAATTAGAGTGGAGAAAAATGATTAGAAGAAATTGAACCATATTTTCCCCACATTAAAAACAAAACAAAACACCTCATTGAATTAAAAACCTTTATAGGTGGTTTTGTAAAAATACATTATTCCCTTGATAGCTTTGTGATTTTGAGCCATGGGGTTGGTGTGTGTGTGTGTGTGTGTGTGTGTGTGTGTACAATTAGAATTACTGTAAGATTGTCTTTCATCTACAGAGTTTTTAATTTATGGGGGAAGTTATGAGATTAGTAGGTTCTGTATAATTAATAGGGTTTAATGCAAATATAGGCTACAATAGAATTAAAATTGATTATTTTTCCTGAAAGAGAATTTGTATTAAGTGCTTGGTATAAATTTATCAGATTATACTCTGTCTAAACCAAATGACTCCTTTGTGTTTTAAAAGGCTAGAACATCTGTAATACTTTCAACAATAATAAATAAATAAAAATTCTTTTCTCATCGATGTTTCCCTTTCTCTCTCCCTCTCCCTTAAAAAAAAAAATCAGTAAAAATATTGAACTCCTGGCCAGTTTGGCTCAGCAGTTAGAGTGTCAGCCCGTAGACCAGAGTCTCAGGTTTGATCCCTAGCCCCAGTTGGGGTCATGCAGGAGGCAGCCAGTCGATGTCTTTCTTTCACATCGATGTTTCTCTCTCTTCCTCTCTCCCTCCCACTCTATCTAAAGAAATCATTGGAAAAATATCCTCGGGTGAGGATTAAAAACACTTAAAAAATTCTTTGTACTGTTATAACTTGTTCCTTATAAAAATGAAATTTGAAAGTCCATGGCTCTAGAAATTGAGGATTTAATATTAAATTAAAAATTTTAGTATCTTCCTTAGCAATATTTTCCCACTGTGTTAATTTATTGAACGACTTTGCTCTGCTTAATTGCTAAGTGGGCAAATTTGGTTAATATTTAATGTTTTGGCAAGTGCTGTGTTCTGGACTAGCCAGCAGTGTAATTCAAAATGGTTATTATATTAGTTCATTATGAATCATAAGCTGTATAAATATTTGTCACTTAATCATATGAACTGTTTTCTGCTGAATTTTATTTTAAAGGTTCCTTGTCCCAATATCAAGTGTTATCTGCAATGACATAACAGCTTACCTTTTTGGATTCTTTTTCGGGAGGACCCCATTAATTAAGGTAATGGGAAACTCTCACAGGTAAGCCCTGCCCTCACCTTGGAGATTAGCCAGCGCAGGTGGTGCTGCAGCACATCTCTGATTCCCGAGGGCCTTGCATCCTCCTTGGCCGCACCCAGCAGCCAGAGTGCAGGGCAGCGAGCCCCCCGATGACGCCTGGGGCTCCTGCAGCTGTCCCACCGGCTCCTCACTGAGAGCTGACACCAGCAGTTACTCCTCCTCCAGCGAAGGCTCACTGCACCTTTCTGCCGGTTTCTTCCCTCAGCGGCTGTGTGGGTCTCCTTGCCTCAGCTCTCAGCAGCCCCAGACACAGCCCTTCCCTTGACCGCTGTCCCCGCTGTCCCCGCTGTGCCCTCGTCACCACCCTGGAAGTGCACATTCCACCGTCTTCACACGCCCATGTCCACTATAGACCTCTACACCCAGACTCATTTAAAAAAATCGAGGCCCTACAATAAAATACTGATAATGTAAGTGGTAAGGAAAGGTTAAAATAAGAGAAAGGAGAGAGAACATGTGAGCAGACCATGTTGTTTTGCCTTAGATTTGGAGGCAAAGAAGGACATGAAGTAAGTTGTAAGTTCCCGTTTTGGGGAAGAAAGAAACAAAACAGCCCTTAATGGAAGAGCAGACTTTGTCCTTTAAAATCCTTCCATAAATTCTTTGCCATATAGTAGTCCAGCACACGGCATCAGCCTGGGTCGTAGGGATACAAGCAAGCTAATATTTCCTCCAGTTTCTAAAGCTGTTTAGCACAAGCACAGCTGATTGAGTATGCAAGGCTCCTGGACCAGCTGAGAAGTGTTTGGCTCAGGAAGCCTTCAGAGTGGCTGTTAGGCTGTAGAAGATTCTCAGTGTCTGACTTTGAGCACAGAGTTCTAGTGAATTTACTAGGCTGGATTAGTTGCATAATATATTCAGATGTAATTAAGTTCACCGCTAAATCAGTATGCTGTGGAACAGTTTAATTCGATAGGCAGTCTTTAATCAGCAAGCACTTTTGAATTTGAGTCAACCCCCACTTCACGGCAGTACTACTGAATCATCCCAGGAGAAGGTATCCCTCCGACCCTTCGCTGTGGCAGAATCGTAGATATGTCGAAACCATTTCTGCCAGCCCTCTTGGCCTTGAACTTTATGAACATCACAACGGGGTCTGTAAAGAGCTCGTGTAGCTTAGCTCTTGCCCCTTTCCATCTGCAGAAACTTCCCTGGGATGTTATTTGGCTCCTGTCCCTGTTCCTGAAAAGATCATCACAGGAGCCATGAATGATCTGAGGGCAGCTCCCGACACATCAGCCCTTCTCCCCAGGGCACCTCGGGCAGTTGGTTGGGCCACTCCCAAGTCTTTTCCCCCTGCCCCTGCGGCACCGGTTCCCGACCAGATTTCTCTCCCTGAAAGTCTCTTCGATAGAGCAGCAGTAGCTCTAATCTGAAACAGGATCTGTTCTCAGAAGCACAACTTTTCTCCTTCTTTATGGGACAGACATAGATTATGTCCAAAGGGAGAAGGATGGGCGAATACTTGGGGAGTGAATACTGTGTCTGGGGCTGTAGACAGTTTTGCCATTTCAGAAAGAGGTCCGCTGTATGCATGGCCTTTGGGGAATACATGGAGATCTGGTGTGCTGCAATGCCCATGTTTAGTTATACTCTTTCTATTTTTGGTGCATGTCAAATGTTTGAGGACCTAATATGGGTTTCATACTGCTAGCGAAATTTGCTCACATAAACTGGGATCATGGAATGAAGGGGAAAGGGTGGCAAAACCATTTGAAGACGAAAAAAGACATACAGGGTACTCAGGGAATTCGCTGAGCAGAGTTTGCGTAGGTATTGTGTGTTTTGCGAGTGCAGTGACTCTGTGCTTTTATCTGGCCTTTTCTAGCTGTCGCCTAAAAAGACGTGGGAAGGATTTATTGGCGGTTTCTTTTCCACAGTCGTGTTTGGATTCATTGTGAGTTTTACTAAGATTTTTATCTTATTTATATTTTGAAAACTGGTAGCAAGTGTATCAGTGTATCCTAAACCTAAAATAATTAAACCACAACATGCTAATAATGTATTTATTGAAGCCCACTCAGCAGAATCTGTTGTGGACCCCAGTGGCTCTCCTCCTGGCCTCACATCAGAACCACCTGGGAGCTCATTCACCATCTGGGTCCCAGCCCCATCCCAAGGCAGTGAACGTCCCCAGTTGATTCTGATGCCCAGCGAGGCCCCGAGACCCTCCGCTGTGCTGGTGTGGTGTTTGAACAGCTGTTCTGCCTTGTGGGGGACCCGGGGCTGGGACAGGCGGTGGCCTCGAGTAAAGGCAGAGAGTACAGATGACGATGAGCTCTGCCCCCCGTACACATGCTGCTACGCGGCTCGGCCAGTGCTTCCTGCCGGGAGCCCAACGTGCAGGAAACGTCCGTGAAAAATCCTCGATGTTCACTTTCAGCCTTGAGTAATGGGTCCTGCTAATGTTTTAAAAGTCAGCTTACAGTTATGGAGTGTAGGTTCTTTTTACAAGGTGTCTCACAAGAATCAATAAAGGCACAGTAAAATGGCTGGATATAAGATAAATATACAAAAAGATGACTGTTAGGAGGTTTACTGTTTTAAGTGTAGCCCCTGACAGTTCTAGAATCTACTCCATAGCCAAATATAGAGCAACCAGAGACAACATGGAGCTTCGAGAGAGAGCAAAGGTACAAACCAGTGAAAACGTTTTCAGGTTTCTGTACAGGAAAACTGTCATAATTCTCTGTTTAATTAGCAAGTTTAGTTAATTCTCAATGAAAATCCCCATGGGATATGGAAAAACGAATCCAATCAGTGTTTGTGTTGTAGAGTGTTGATAAGATAATAATTCATAAACAGCATAATGAAAGTGGAACTAATCCTGTCCAATGTTTATACATTACAAAGCAGGGATAATGAGAACATTATTAAGTTAAATAATACTATAAGAATCCGGTATTATTAAAGATAAATTTAGAAGTACTACAAGAATAGCCGTATCATTGGAAGAAAATAATCAGCAACCCTGTAAGACTGTAATGCAGCCCGGCCAGTGTGGCTCCATGGGTTGAGCGTCATCCCATGGACTGAGAGGTCCTGATTCGATTCCTGGGCAGGGTACATGCCTGGGTTACAGGCTCGATCCCCAGTAGGGGGCGTGCAGGAGGCAGCCAATCGATGTTTCCCTCTCACGTCAATGTTTCTATCTCTCCCTTCCCTCTCTCTCTAAAAATAAATAAATAAAAACATATTCTTTTAAAAAAGAATGTAATGCATGACAAAAATAATGAGGAGGGACATTATATATTTTCTAATAAATAATTTTGAGGAAACTGGTTAGAAGCAGAAGCAGTTCATTATCATCCCTGGTGTCAGTTTGCACTTCTATTAACTGTTCTTGACCGAGATAATGGGGTGAATGGCTGCAAAAGAAAAGAAAAGAAACTGTTGCCTAACAATTTAAATTTAAAATAAAATATTTTTTTTTATGTATCTTCTTCCATGGCTAAGAAAAGCTATATTAATAATTGCAGTGATGTGATCAGGGAAAGAGTAGTTTAGTCAAAGTTTTCTAGGTTGGGTAAGAACAATGTGTTTTTCATCTGTACAATTTTTTTTTTGATAATTTTAAATCACTGGTTATTTATTAATTGATGAAATTAATATAACATTTATGCAAAGAACTTCAGTCCTGTACTCTCCCATACCTTAGTAATTACTAGCTTCAGCTAACATTAGTTATGTGTACTTTAGAAAAGTAAAACCTTGCTGTAGTGCTTGTTTGGATGTTTAAATCACCTTCTTTTTCTCTTTTTCCTTCCCCCTTTTTATTGTGGTCTTATAGAGATAATCTCATTGATTTCCAGAGGCCTTTGGTTTTCCAGTGGCTTTTCAGTCTTTTTTTTTTTATCCTCACCCAAGGACATTTTTCCAATTTTTGTACAGATAGAGTGGGAAGGAGGGGGCGGGGGGGGAGGGAGAGAGAGGGAGAGAGAGAGAAACATCGACGTGAAAGGGACACATCGAGTGGCTGCCACCCGCATGACCAACCAGGGCCGGGGACAAACTGCAACCGAGGTATGTGCCCTTAGCGGGAACCGAACCCGGGTCTCTCCGGACCGCAGGTCAACGCTCTAACCACTGAGCCAAACCGGCCAGGGTGGCTTTTCAGTCTTTTATTGGGCCAGTTTTGATCGTTGAACTTTGAGAATACATAGCAACACTCAGTCCACTGAGCCACACCAGCAGGGCTTTCTTGGAAATTTCTTAATGCCATAATCAGAAGGCTTGACATGAGTTCAGAGGTCACCTACTCCAGATATTTCTTTGCCAGATATTACACTGTGCTGCTCTTTTCCTGGTATCCCCTTTTTTTCCCTCACCCGAGGATATTTTTCTACTTATTATCAGATAGAATGGGAGGGAGGGAGGGAGGGAGGGAGGGAGAGAGAGAAACATCGATGTGATGGAGACACATCCACTGGCTGCTTCCTGCATGACCCGACCAAGGCTGGGGACGAACCGCAACTGAGGTACGTGCCCTTGACCGGAATCAAACCTGTGACGCTCCAACCGCTGAGCCAAACGGGCCAAGGCTGGAATGTGTTGTTTTCAGCCCTGGTCGGTTTGGCTCAGCGGCTGGAGCATTGGCCCATGGACATCCCAGGTCCCTTATTTAATAGTATTTAATAGATGAGTGTGCTGAGGCACAGAGAGATGATGGGAATTCTTTAAGGTCACATAGCTAGTCTGACTTAAAATAAAAAAGAAAAACAAAGAGAATACATAGCAGAATGTGAATGCACAGAAGCTGTGGCTGGCATTCTGTCTCTGGCCTTTCGGCCGATACAACACCCTCACACACCCATCCCCACCCTGTCGTTTTGCAGTCAATGTGTCATGAACTCTTGCTTTGTGATTCAGGCTGCCTATGTGTTATCCAAGTACCAGTACTTTGTCTGCCCAGTGGAGTACCGCAGTGACGTCAACTCCTTCGTCACAGAGTGTGAACCTTCAGAACTTTTCCAGCTTCACAGTTACTCCCTCCCTCCCTTTCTGAGGGCAGTGCTGAGACGGGTAAGGCAGCTGCGGGTGTGGGTCTTCCATCCCAAGACGAGACTTTTCACAAGAATCGATCTCTGTAGGGCGTTCATTTCTGTGACACAGAAGTGGTTTCCCTGTCTGCTTAGCATCAGTAATATATTCTAGCCCTTTGGAATGTCCCTTTCGTGAACATGAAATGAGTATTACTATCCTAAACCTGTTGTTTATTAGGAATGTGATTGCCTAATGGCTTGACAACTGATGATATAATTTATCTTGTATTTGTTTCGAAAGTGTTAAAAACTATTCTTTAGATTTCTGCATTTTTGGATGAGTTGCAATAAGTTTCACATGAATTGACTAAATTTGAAAATTGAAATTCACCAGCTCAGATTCCTGGATTTTTTGGGGGACCTTTACTAGGACAGAAAGCTGCTGCCTCTAAAAGTTTCCCTTCGAAAGCACAGTGCTACCATTGATAGGCAGCCTTGAGGTCAACACTGACCTACGCCATCGGGACTGGTGGGTGGCTAATTAAAACGGGGAATCAAATAATTGTGCCTACACACATGCACATGTGTGGATCTGAAACATTTTATTTTTAACTAGAGTCCATAACTTTTGAGAAGAGTAAATTATTTCTCTCCTTGAGTGCTTAATACGTGGATTCCAAGAATTTTTTCAAGGTCCAAGCCATCTGTTATCTACTGTACACTTCTGCTCCTGCCAGGCTGCTGAGGAGCAAGGCCACTGCTTTGAAAACAAGTCCAAAGACTGGTGTTCTCAGTGATGGTTGTTCAACCACACCTGCTATGCACTGTCTATAGTTTGTAGTTTCAGTTCATCTAAAGTGGAGCAAGAACGAAGAATTTACAAAATGGTTTGCAGAATTCTCAATTTTTATGATCTCCACAAATCTTGTATAATAATCTTGCTGATGCACATTTTGACATACTTTTTATTTATTTAAAAAAAATTTTCTTTATTGATTTTTAGAGAGAGAGGAAGGGAGAGGGAGAGAGAGATAGAAGCATCGATGAGAGAGAACATCGATTGGCCACCTCCTGAATGCCCCCCACTGGGAATCGGACCCACAACCTGGGCATGTGCCCTGACCAGGAATCAAATTGGCGACCTCTTGGTGCATAGGTCAACACTCAACCACTGAGCCACACTGGCTGGGCATTTTGGCATACTTTTTAAAGCAACTGCTTTCATTTGTTTCTACAGCATTTAACTTATTCTCTCTCTCTTTTTTTTTTTTTCACTCCTTAACTGAGGATATTTTTCCATTTATCCTCAGACAGAGTGGGAGGGAGTGGGAGAGAGAGAGAGAGATAGAGACAGAGAGAAACATCGATGTGATAGAGCTACATCTACTGGTTGCCTTCCACACAACCCGACCAGAGCCGGGGACGAACTGCAACCAAGGTACGTGCCCTTGACCAAAATCAAACCTGAGCCTCAATGGTCCCCCGGGCTGACATTCTAACCACTGAGCCAAACCGGCCAGGGCTTAAATTACTCTTACTAGAAAGACCAACTTTTCCCTTCCTCTGTCAAGTAAAAGTCAAGTGAAATAAAATACAAAATGTAAATTCATTATGTAATTACAAAAACAAAGTACTACTCGTAAAATATAAACTTAGAAATTAATTCAGGGGATTCTTCATCAGCATGCAACTCAAGTGTTGTAGAGATTTTTAGATGAACCAGAAAGTAGCCTATCAGCTGTGAGGTTTCGGTGTGCCAGGCACTGTCCATGTGTACACAGGGCACAACTGTGCTAAGCACAGGATGGTGACGAGAGCTCATGATGTATTTTTCTCCCATAAGCCTGAAAATTCGTGAAATTAACACAAATGTGGCATATGCATTGACTTACTGTTTATAATATGGTTCTTAGTTTAGATGGTGTATGTAAATACAATTTTAATCCAGTTAGCCCCAACCCCTCCCCTTTTTTTTCCTCTTTAGGAAAGAGTGAGCTTGTATCCATTCCAGATCCACAGCATTGCTCTTTCAACATTTGCATCTCTGATCGGCCCCTTCGGAGGCTTCTTTGCCAGCGGGTTCAAAAGAGCTTTCAAAATCAAGGTGAGTGTTTAGGTTCTTTGTTACATTATTAGAGAATGGAATACAGTTGGAATTCGGTTCTCTACTGGTCTCTCACATTTAGCCCCCAGGCAAAAATGACTGGTGTCAGCCTGTGTTATGGAAATGGCAGATGTTACTTAATTAGGGACAAGCACAGAATCTCAGTCATTTCGAGACTCATCCAAGAATCCAGCCGTGAATTGTCTGAAGATTAGTGTCTTGCCACAGTCTCACTTCAAGGGATGGAAGGGGAGCCTTTGAATATGGAACTGCCCATTCTCCTAGACTGGGGGTCAGCAAACTTCTCTGTAAAATCCTGTGTTTATGAATCACATCCTAACCACTCAACTCTGAATGCGGCCACCACTGTGGGACAGCGCGGCGGACAATGTGTCAATGAGTAGGCATGTTACTTATTTTGTAAATGAAGTTAATAAAACTTTATTTACAAAAACAGGCTGCCAGCTGGATTTGGTCTGTAGGACATAGTTTGCTGATCTCTGTCCCAGATACCTAAAATCATCTCTGTGTTTTAGGTTAGATTCCCATAAAGTGACATGTATTTGCCCCGTTCACTCAGCTCTCCTCACATGGCCTCACTTAAGACTGGATGTTGTGCCATTAGAAGTTAGAGAGGACAGGCCTCTCTGAGGAGGTGGCATTTAAGCAGGGATCCGAGAAAGGAGGAGAACGAGGCCTGCGGAGACACCTGAGGGAGGGCGTTCCAGCGCGTGCCCAGGAGTGGAGGAACGTAGCCTGTTTGAGGGGCGAGAACAGCGTGGCTGTGCAGACTGCCGACGTCCGTGGGGTCAGATCACGAGGGCACCAGAAGCCAGGAAAAGGCGCTCAGTGAGGACTTGCAGTGGGACGAACAATGTTAAATGGAATGCAATATAAAAAAGTGTATAAGGTATTGTCCCTGTTCTCACGATCTCAGCACCCACTAGGAGAGAGGACACACGTCCACAAAGAACCACAGCAACAGCTGTGCGTGGCTCGTGTCCCGTCAAGGCTGCCCACAGTGGAGCGGCCTGAGTCACGGTGGCTCTCCTGTGCTTTGTGAGCAGGGGCGAGAAGGGAGGAAACAAGTTGGTGAAATTAACCAAAGAATTTCTCAGTAATCTTTTACACAGAGAAGCGTTATATTTACAACGGTATTTTCTTGAATGGTCTCCAATCCAAGGTTTCCTGTTGACTACTGAGTTTTTTTGCCTGTCTGAAACGGTGTAATTGCTGTAGCATTTTAGATGTTTTCAGGTTGCCTGAGTAAACTAGAAGAGGAATTAAGTCATTGCCATTTCCCAGGCCCTGAGCAATGTGGATATATCTGCACAGTCTATTTGCAGAGGCTGACTAACCATTCCCTCAATTTCATGGACTATTTTTATTTTCTTTTTACCCCAACACTTTAAAAAAAGGAAATCTTTGTCAGAGTAGTAAAACGTTTATTCAGAGTAAGAACTGTTGGGGTAAATGAGTTAGAACCAGATGGACACCTGTCAACAACACTCAGATCGCTCCCAAAATAGTTTCTGCTTAAACAGAGAAGTAGACTGTCAGAATATTAGATAGGTAATGGCTGATAGCTCTTTTGATTTAGAAAAAGTTTTGTTAACTGAAAAAAGTGCTAGATTTAATTAATATTGAATTAGCATTATTTGAATGTCGCCGGTCAATTCAGTAATATTCTTACGTGGTTTTAACCTGTTGCACATGTTCTAATAAGTTTGTGTTTAGTGGGAAAATCCAACGGTAAAGTATTTTCCTTAGCGTCCATGATTCTAGAGACATTTTCAGATAGGCGTTTTATAACAAACGACGGGTTGAAAATTTGCTAATATGTTGGTTTGTTTTGGAAGGATTTTGCAAACACCATTCCTGGACACGGAGGGATAATGGACAGATTTGATTGTCAGTATTTGATGGCAACATTTGTGCATGTCTACATCACAAGTTTTATAAGGTACTTTTAAAAATGTTGTTATCCTTGATTTCTTGAAGCTCTCATTTCCACAGACGTTAGTTTGAGCTGCTCTTCCTGTCAGTGGTCATCTGATCTCAGAGGGAATGGTGGCTCCTCAAGTCCTGCCCACGGTAGCCATGAGTGGTGTGGTTAAATTATTTTATGTACATTTGCACTTTAAAAAAACAATAATATGTGTCATGGCCTTTATAAAGCCAAGTTAAAATCCACTCAATATGGGTGGTACTGGATTGGAACATCAGAAGATTTAATTTCTCAATTGTGGGTAAAGCAATGATAGTGAATGCAAAGAATTAAAAAGGAGGGCAGAATAATTGATCAGTTCACCAATTATAGCTTGAGGGCCTGTTATGTACTGGGAAACGTCCTGGGCACGAATATAGCCAAGAAGAAAACAAACGAAGTCCCTGCCCTTGGAGCTTACATTTGTATTAGGGATTTGGGGGGGAGAAGGGGAGGAGCAGACCGTAAACAAGTAAATATAGCTTGTTATGTGGTTATAATAAGTGCCACAGAGGAAAATAAAACAAACCAGGGGATTATGGCTGTGTGAGGTGGAGTGAGTGGAGGGTGTTGCTATTTTATATAGGGTGGCTTATTGTTGTTTTTAAACCTTAATGTTTTGGGTCTGCCCCAAAATGTCTGTCTGGGGTGTGAAAACTCCCCACATGTCAACTCTATTTTCCACTGTCTCTACTAGTGCCTAAGCCTTGGAAAACATGCATTTCCTTCATAGAGTTAATTGGAGTGAAACTCTTATTTATAGATCCCTAAATACACATTTTAAATATATACCCATTGCAGCATTTTTGTATTAACACTCATTTTTCTTGAGTTATCTTGTTAGGAGGTTTTTTTTTTCTTGAGCAGTCCCATTAGTTTATCTCATTAATCTTTTCAGAGAATCAAATTCTGGTATCATTAACTTGATTGTATATTTGCTTTCTATTCCATTGATGTCCACTCTCATCCTTCATCTTTTTTTTTTTTTAATTCATCTTTATTGTTGAATGTATTACAGATGTTTCTCCCTTTTTTCCCCATTGAGCCCCTTCTCCCCATTCCCGCCCCCTCCTGCCTTCCCCACACTATTGTCGGTATCCATTGGTTGTGCATATATGCATAGAAGTTCTTTGGTTTATCTCATCCCACCCTCCCTCCGCCTTTCCCTTTGAGGTTCATCAGTCTAACAACCAATTTGTACTTCTTAATTTTTTCATCTTTTTCCCCCACCCACCCCAGCCCCCACCCATCTGGCAAGTAATAAAAAGTTCTCTGTATCTATGAGTCTGTTTCTGTTCTGCTTGCTCATTTTGTTTGTGGATTCAATTGTTGATAGATATGTATTAATTGCTATTTTATTGTTCATATTTTTGTTGTTCTTCGCCTTCAAGAAGATCCTTCAACATTTCATATAATACTGGTTTGGTGGTGATGAATTCCTTTAGCTTTTTCTTGTCTGGGAAACTCTTGATATATCCATTGATTCTAAATGATAGCTTTGCAGAATAGAGTAATCCTGGTTGTAGGTCATTGCTTTTTATCACCTTGAATATCTCTTGCCTCTCCTTTCTGGCCTGCAAAGTTTCTTTTGAGAAATCAGCTGACAGTCTTATGGGAGCTCCTTTGTAGGTAACGGACTGCTTTTCTCTTGCTGCTTTTAAGATTATCTCTTTGTATTTAACCTTTGGCATTCTGATGATGATGTGTCTTGGTGTGGACCTCTTTGGGTTCAACTTGTTTGAGACTCTCTCTGCTTCCTGAACTTGTATGTCTGTTTCCTTCACCAAGTTAGGGACGTTTTCTGTCATTATTGTTTCAAATAGTTTTTCAATTTCCTGCTCTCTCTCTTCTCCTTCAGGCACCCCTATGATGCGAATGTTGGCACGCTTGAAGTTCTCCCAGAGGCTCCTTACACTGTCCTCATTTTTTTGGATTCTTTTTTTTTTTTTGCTGTTCTAGTTGGGTGTTTTCTGCTTTCTTATATTCCAAATCGATGGTTTGCTTCTTGGCTTTACCTACTCTACTATTGATTCTCTGTAAATTATTCTTTATTTCAATTAGTGCATCCTTAATTTCTGATTGGCCCTTTTTTATGATGTTGATGTTCTCACTAAGTTCTTCAGAGGTCTCCTTAAGTTCCTTGAAGTTCTCACGAAGTCCCTTGTATGTCTCACCAAGTTCCCTGAGCAACCTTATAACCTGTGTTCTGAACTCTGCATCTGTTAGATTGCTAATCTCCAGTTTGTTTAGTTCTTTTCCTGGAGTTTTGTTCCTTTCTTTCATTTGGGACATGTTTCTTTGTCTCCTTATTTTGGCTGCTTCCTTGTGATTGTTTCTATGTATTAGGCAGAGTTGCTATGCCTCCTAGGCTTTGTAGGGTGGCCTATTGTTATAGGTGCCCTGTAGGATCCAGTGGCACAGTATCCCTGATCACCCCAGCTGGGCCCTTGTGGTGCACCCCTAGTGTGGACTGTAGACCCTTCCCTTATAATTGAGTCTTGATTGCTGTTGGCACAGCAATGGGAGGAGTTTACTCAGGCTGGTCAGCTTCAAGGACTGGCTGTGCCCACTAGCCACTACCTTGGAGGATCAGCTGTGTAGGGGCCCACAACACAGAGAAAGACTTGCCTCAGCAGGGCTCTTGTACCCACTGAGTCCACTCATTGAGTGTGTCACTTGTGGAGGTGGTTGGGTGGTGGTATTTCGATGTGGTCTGAAGTTGTCCACCAGGTGTGCTGGCTTTGGGGCAAGGTCAGCCACTGCCTGGTGTTCTACCCGGGGCCATAAGCTACAAACTGATCTGCAGATGGCTGATTCTTGTGCTGGGCTGGGAGGTGTCCCAGAAAAGCCAAGTTGTGAACCAAGGCTGGCTGCTTCTAGTATGGGCTCGCTGAGACTGGTTTCTCTCTAGCCCTGGCTCTGTGCCGCTCTTGTGGGCCGCTGGGTCGCACCGGGTCCTCTGGAGCCGCCGGTCCCGCCGCTGGTGGTTGGGGAGTGCTGCTGCCCAGTGGGGCTCAGCTCCTGCTCAGCCTTTGCTGTAGTTTTTTTTTTGGGGGGGGGGGTAGTTCTCAGCTGCTGGTCTGTGCTTCTGTTGCCTGGGGATGGATGTCTGCTCCCCAGCCTTTGTTGCTGGGGGTATATCTCAACTTTGATCGGGCTGCTACTGCGGGGGATGGTGCTGGGCTCCCTGCCATTTGTGGTTTGTGCAACTGGCACCTTGACAGCTCCGCTACTGTGCACTGGTCTGTGTTAACACAGGGTGTCCACTGGTCCAATGGTGCCAGGTACACTGGTGGGCTCAGGTACCAGATGCTGCTTGTTTGAGAGATTTTAGGAAACTGAAGCAGGATCCAAGACAGGCCAATCCTATGGTAAAGCCTTTGGAAACAGCTTGGATGGGCCTGAAAGCTGGGTGAGGGGGGCCTCAGGGAGTCACCAGAGTGGGCCAAGCAGTGTGAGCCAGGTTGCTGGAGTCCCAGATATGGCGGCTGTCTTCCTGCCCTGTGGGGGAAGGGCTCACCAAAGGAACAACGGCCTCCACCAGCACGTCTGTCCAAGAGAAAGCTGCCCCTCCAGCCCTCATCCGAAGGCCATACAGCTCAGTTCTTCCCTGTTCTCTGGTGCCCCTCAAGCTGCCTCCCCTTGGAGCTCAGAGGGAGCAGGTCTGAGTAAGTCTCTGCGCGGGCCCTTTAAGAGGAACTGCTGGGGCTTCCTTAGCCGCAGCCTCCCTGAGCCTCAGTTCCCATTGGTTTTTCCAGCTAGAAGTGATGTGGACTCTCTTGCTGGCACTGGGACCCTGAGCTGGGCGCCTGGTGTGGGACGGGGACCCCTCAGTCCTCAGGGAGGACCTTCCCAGCCGAGGTCTCTCCTGATTTTTATCCGCCACACGTGGGTGTGGGACCAGCCCCTCCACCTCCGCTCCTCCTTCCAGTCTTGATGTGGCTGCTGCTTTAATTCCGTAGTTGTAGGATTTCCATTCAGCTTGATTTCAGGCGGTTCTGAATGATGGTTGTTCTGTAGTTTAGTTGTAATTTTGATGTGGTTGTGGGAGGACGCGATACCGCGGTTACCTACCTGCCATCTTCAGAACTCCTCCTCCTCCTTCATCTTTCTTTAGGTTCAATTTGCTATTCTTTCAGGCTTCTTGAGATAAAGCTTACATTATTAATTTTCAGTCTTGTCTAATATATTCATCTAAGACTATAAATTTCACCCTAAGTACTGCTTTATTCTCATCCTAGATGTCGTATTTGTATTTTCATTACTCGTGACAAATGTTTTCTGATTTCCAGTATTGTATCTTCGACACGTGGATTATTTAAACGTGTACTGATTCATTTCCAAACAAATGGGAAATTTCTGTTCTCCTTCCTTGATTGATTTTTGCCTTAATTCCACTGTGGTCAGAATCAGGCTGTTGTTTCCGTATTTAACATTTGTTGAGACTTGCTTTGTGCCTCAGTGCATTGTCTATTCAGGTACATGTTCCATGTGCACGATCTGCAGTTTCTGGTGGGCGTGTTGTATATGACTATTCGGTGCAGTTTAGCTAAAGCTTCTGTATTGATGTTTTTTCCTGTCCCCTTATTCTGTCAGCTACAAATCCTCCCACTAGGATTTTTAATAAATTTACCTATTGCTATTTTTAATTGTCAGTTTTGCTTTATACATTCTGAGGTTATATGAAGTACATATACCTTTAGGCCTGCCCTGTCTCCCTGCTGAATCTCTCCCGATGTCGTTACAATGCCCGGCTTTATGCTGCTTAAAGCCTATTTTATTGGCCAGTAGAATAGCTACACCAGCGGCCTTTTGGTTAGTGTTTGCATAGTATTTCTTTGTCCCTACTTTTATTTTTAGCATTACTTTACCCTTATAGTGAAAGTGTGTTTTTCCTTTTCTCTTCTAACAAGGCATATAGCTGGATTTTTTTGTAGCCTAGTTGACAGTCTTTGTCTTTTTATTTGAAATATTCAGTCTATTTGTGCAGTTTATTTACTGATATAGCTGAGTATTAGTATTTAGTGTTTAAGCCTCCAGAGCTCGGTCTTTTCAGCAGATGGCAGCGATTGGGGCATTAATTCATACTTTTAACATTTTTTTAAAAAATGTACTTTTCTCCCAGTAGAGAGAAGTCGTGCTGAGCCATGTTGTCCACCACTGGAGAGCAAATATTTAGACTATTAGAAATACGGTGCCGGTGCCAGGCCGCAGCCGGCGGGGAGCACCTGCTGGCAACTTTGCATTTAGCTGAACTTGCTAGAAAAGCCTCCCTTTCCTCGTGGGCCCTCCTGGGTTTACGTTATGAAGTTGCTGAGTCTTTTGAAGAAATCTAAGACAAGCTGTGTCCTGACTTGAGACTGGTGAGAGGGACACATGGCTGCAGCTTCTGGCATTTGCACAAAGGTGACCCAGGGGACGGCTAAATCTGAGTACTGCGCAGTTTTCAAATCCAAGATTTTTATTGTGAGATCACTGTGCAGCAGGCATTTCTTTGTTGCCAGGGTTTTCTGCTCCCGTAATTCCATTTGAACTGAACGGTCCTTATTCAAAGTTGTAAGTTTAATTACTCATGTAAAAGTCTTTCCCTGCACCATTCTTTATGTATTACCCATGACTTTTTCCCATTGGAGTTGACTGACTGCTCTTCACAGAGTAAACCATGCTCTTCTATTCAAGTGGACCGTAGAAATGACAAAGAACACTATATACCCATTCAAAGCTGAGTTAGGTTCATTCTGAACTTGACAAAATAGCATTTTGGGCGATCGCCTGATCTCCAGTGTATAAATGGGTTGCGTTCTAGAGCCCAGGAGGTGTCGCAGCAGGGAAGCTGAGGGCAGGGGTCCTGTTCTGGAGTGTTCTGACGGCACCAGGGAAGGGTGGGCAGAGCGGGGCGGAGCCGGGCTGCTTGAGCCCCTGCGGAGGGCCCCGCGCAGGCTGTGGAGAGCGCATCTCATCACTGGCCTGAGCACCTTCAGTTCCACCTGGTCACTTCCTCCTGGCTGGGGGAGGCGGGGAAGGGCAGGCTCTCTCAACTACAGCAACTCCGCTTTGTTTCTTATCCTGGGGTTTACCTAAGACCACCTGTGAACAGAGGGTGTGGCACACCTGCTGTGGATGCCGGGTAGGAATTCAGTGCTGGGCTCAGAACCTTTCTGTCCTGTCTCTTGAACAGTCATAGTTCCCCAGGGCAGTTCTTCAACAAAATACCTTCCACCGTCTGAACTTTCTCTGACGCTAACAAGCCAAAAGAATTTGTCCTATCCTCATCCACCAGGAATTTTGCTCCTTTCCTTACAGGGTAGTTTTTGTGTCTTGCCCAATCTCAGGGTTCGCTATCTGTCCGCCCCTCTAACTCAGGTTGGCCTTTTGAGAATGTCTGTAGAGCTCCGATCGGTACCTCCGGACTGCCTACTTGTCCCGGGGTCTCGTGCTTGTGCATTCTTACCATGTCTGCGCTGTAGGCCTCTCAGCCGAGATTCCTTCGGGGTTTTTCTTACTGTTGACACACTAACATTGGGCATTAAAGTGAGCTCTGGTCAAGAGCTGCTTCAGTTCTGCAAAGATTACTACTCTGCACTTAAATGCAGCGTTTACTTTAAATTGTGGGTCTGTGCTTCCTTTGGCTCTCTTAAAATAGCATGAACTTTCCTTTCTGCTTTGTTATCAGGGGCCCGAATCCCAGCAAAGTGCTACAGCAGTTGTTGGTGCTTCAACCAGAGCAGCAGTTAAATATATATAAAACCCTGAAGACTCATCTCATTGAGAAAGGGATCCTGCAGCCCACCCTGAAGGTATAACTGGACCCAGAGAGGGCAAGACTGAATCGACAATAAGGAATTCTACAGAAAAGCACTGATAAATGAAATTTTGTAAATGTACAGAAAAATGGTTGAAAATGCACTAGAATGAAGATTTATGGACACGAATGTTCCTTCTCTGAAATTACTGTGAATATTTAACGAACACTTGATCTAAGTTATTGAATAAGTAGCAAATCATCATCAAAATAGCCTGTACTTTTTCCAAAGTGTATTTTCTGATGTTAACTTCCTTTCCCTTACTTGCCATTTTCATAATTTAAAAAGACTGTTTTAAAGAATCAAATACTATAAGATGAGTAGGTTGAGGACATCATGAGATTGCACCTGGCAGCGTGCCCTCTGCACAAATATTTACTTTTGCACTTGGAGCTGCTCTCAACTTTAGCAAAACGTTTTATGTAAGGCACAATAGGAAGTTAGTTCTCTCGAACTTCCTCCTCCTCTAGTTTTGAAGTATTTTCTGAAGGGCTGAGTTGGATAAAGTAAGTAAAGATTTGCCAGGGGAAAACATTCCACTTTTAGGCAGGTTTGAAATTCAAGAGAGGGAGGATGAAATTTCTATCTTTATTGGCTTAAACTCTACTTCTGATAAAGCTGTTTGGAAAAACCTAATGTCGGTAAAGCTTTTCAAGAGAAACAAAGGAGAATTCTACTATGAAGAACATTATGCATGCTCCACCGGTGATCTGCAGACGGCAGTAGCTCAGGAGACGCGTAAGACAATGAGTGACGTGGGGCCCAGCACACCTCTTGGCCAGTTCTCTGCCTTTCCTGTTTCCCATGAAAAGGTTTCTGTGAGTTCTGTAGCCACAACTACAAAAGACCAATATGTAGGGTAGTGAGTAGGGATGGTGGCTGAAGCAGAGGGGTGCCCGGCTGTGCCCTGGGCTTCCCTCCTGTGCACTGGACACTCCCCTGGCAAGAAGGAAGACCTGCCTGGAGACCCCATCCCAGACTGACTCCATGGGGGCAGCTAATCTCCGTCCCTTTCCTCTTTCACATCATGTCATAAAACCTGAGGACCTCAGCGGATGGTATTTTTCTTCCAAGAATGAAAATCAAGCAGAAGTGATTCTGAACAAAAGCACACGAATGTCAGACCTTTCTCTGATGGACGGGACACTGTAACCAGATGAGGACAAGTGTCTTATCAGTGAATACAAATAAGCGCATGTTGCCGTGTGTTCTTTACAACCACATTTCTTGTACTGAAGAGTCAGCAATAAACCTCTGAAAATTGCCTATGGCTCCTGGGCTAAACGTTCAGAGAGGAGAAATAGATATATTTTAAAGAATGTTTTACTAAGGAAAAGAGGAAATATTTTTGTTTAAATCAGAAACAGTTTTCAATTATTGTATATTCCTTTCCTGCTCTACCTGCGATTACGGACTGTAGCTGTGCCTGGGTTCCCTTCTGGGATGTGGTCGAGCGCTCGCAGCACATAGCACTGCAGGGTTACGGTGGACCCGGTCGAACTCCCTACCGAGTCAGATTCCTGGCTGGCACGCGTGCAGTTGATTCACCACATGGGTGTGATCAGTCCGCGTCATTTCACACTGTTCCATAACAACCTGGCACTGGCGTCAGAAATGCCATCACGGGCTACCTACAAGTGAATTTTCACCATCTCATTATTTGCCTCATAGAAGTTCCCAATTTTGATCATAACAGGATTTAGCATACCAAAGTTTAAAAATAGAATGAAAATTTTGTAGTAGGAACTTAACGTTGAAAACGTGGTGATTTGCACAGTGAGAACCCCACGGAGAGACACAGCTCCCTCGGTCTCTCCGGAGCGACCGGCAAGGCACCGCGGCACAGAGCTACAGGACAGCGTCACCGGGTACCTGCGAGAACATCAATATTATAATAAAATGTTAAGCTAGAAATGTTTGGTGTCACAATAGCTTTTCTCAAATATACTTTGAGGTGGGTATACATTATTCTATATGTAAAACAGTAAATGAACAGAGCGCTCAAGTACCTTTTTAGTGTACTTGAATAGCATTATATGAAAAACCCTGACTTGGGTTATTTTTATATTTGTACTGTAAAGAGGGTTTAAATTCCAGTGGAGCACGTGGTGGCAGAAAAATGAAAGACTAGGAACCTCCTTCCTGGTGATGGCTAACTGTTCCAAATTTTCTATTTTTGGAGGTACTGTCATGGTACTAATTGCTTGACTTTTTAACCTGTGGGATGCAAGTGTTTCTTCGATGTCTTTCCCTTGTGGTGGTACATACACATTTACTGCCTGAAAATAAAAGACCACCCACCCACACACACCCTTTTTTTTCATTTACAGTACCACTTTGTACTTTGATTTGAACAAAGATAGTATCACCTTGTTCAGTAAAAAAAGAAAATGTAGAAACTGTACATATATATGGGCAGGAGACAGCTTATGAAATGTGTCAATCAGTTCTCCGAATCTTTTACTGAAACATAAGAAAATAAAACAAATAAATCACATTTTGACTTTGTCGTGCCATTTTCTCATTGGAGAAGAAATGTTCGTTCAACTAGTGTTTCCATCATAATGATGGACATACATAAGTATTGTGTATTTTCTATCACCAACCCCTACAGTGACATCTTCAGGGATGAGATAATGAAGTCCTGGTGATGAAGGAACATGTGTTTATCCAGAAGTGATATCCTTTCACTAGAAAGAGTAAGGACTGAATTTCAGTGGCACAGTTTACAATTACACACACAGATTCTGGAGGACGTCTGATCCAGTCCCCACTAGAAGTTGCATGGCTGCAGCATGGTGTCTGGGTGGATCGGCCGCTGTGTTCCCAGCGTCTGGCTCAGGGCCAGCACTCCCCAGACCCTCAAGCTTCGGAACACACGAATGGGTTTGGACTTGACTTACCTGTGTCTCTTGGACAGCCCTTCCCTGCCCAGCCCAGTTTTCATTTTGCAAAGCGTTGAGATGGGCTTCGTTATTGCTAGTTGCTGGGGTCACTTTAAGCCTTAAACTAAAGTTTAAGGGATAAGTAAGAACTTATGAATGTGCCTTGGTTTGTGTCCAGCCTAGAGGAACTGGGCAGTCACCCTGAGTCTCCTTTCTGCCCACCCACAGTGGGAAGCGGCGGACAGAAAGGGGACCGCAGCAGGCCACAGTGATTGAGGTAGAGTTAGCCAAGTGTCCTTTCAATGGTAGGCATCCCGTCGGTTCTCGTCAGCAAGCCTGGAATGTCCAGCAGACACCCAGATTGCTTTGTTCCCTAGCACCAAGAAAAACATGAGAACGGGTGGTTCCCTGCCTCGAGACAGAGTTAAATGCCACGCAAGGTGGTGGTTATCACGGCAAGGACAATGTATGAACCAGGTTTGGGGGAAAACAAGACTACCACTCTGACCTCTGGAGGCGCTGTCTGCCCTGCAGATGGTCCACAGCCAGATTTGTCTGCCTGCTCCTGAAACTTACATTTCAACTTCACTTCTTGGGGGAAGGGCTCTATTTGGAAAGTTGTATGCAGTGGCTGCAAAAAAAGAAGAAAAAAAAGTGGATCTGGACGATTTCACCCAAATCAGAAGACTGTCCTACCTTCATCCTGTTGTCTTCCTTTTCCTGTGCAGAGAGGAGAATCTTCCTGAACCATCAGGTAACGTCGAGAGTCACTGTGGAAGGGTCGGTGAATGGAACATTATCTGATGGTGATAAAGTTTGTTTTCCAAAGGAGCAGAGAATACCGTCTGGCTCTCTAATGTGTACAAAAGACATGGGTGGGTAAAGTAAAAGCCTTGTTGCCCAGAGAGAGAGATTCATGGAGGGGGGAGTTGACCCGAAGGTGTCTCAGAGAATGAAATCGCAAGCTGCTCTGCCAAGCCTACGGCACAACAGGATATGGGATTTGGAATTTAAGTTTTCAGACCCTCCCTTCACTGTGCAACCAGCTGAGTTTAACGGATCAAGGTGGTTTTCTAGTCAAGAATGCAATGCCAACTAGACAGGATCTATAAGAGTAATAAGTTTGAAGAACATATTTAAATAAGTATATTTTAATTAGTTTTAATAAATCTAAAAAACTTGTGATAAGGAATCAGAGGCTTCAGCTAGTCCAGATATGGCACATTTGAGGGACGAGTCCAAGATGGCAGCATAGGTAGTGGCCAAGCTTGCCCCCTCCCAAGAACACATCAGATGTACACCTAGACTTAGAGCAGCTCCTCCTAAGAGACAACTTTGAGCCAATGAACAGCTATACAACAAGCAAGAGGAAAGGACCTCGTAGAGAAGGTCGGGGAACCACAACAGTTCTCAGGGAACTGAGAGAATGACCCGGGGTCAGAGGAACTGGGAAGCACCATTGTTTACATTTCCCTGGCACGTGGTGGAGGGCAGGAGCTCCATCCAGGTTCTCTGGCAGACGTGCAGGGCACTGTAGCTAGATCCAGCAGAAACAGAGGGAGCCACAGTGCACACATGGTGCCCCTCCACCTGAAAACGGATTCAGCAGGTACAGCAGGGTGCTGTTCTGTGCACCCATTGGGTTGTATGTACACGGAGCTCCCCCCCAGAGAGAAGGTGGAACTAGCAAAAAAAACCCCATGGTACCTGCCTTCAGGGATACCCTGCCCAGAAAGTGTAGAGATAGTGGGGCACTATGGACTCTTGATCCTTCTGTGTAGAGCTAGCAAAACTTTGCAGTACCCACATTCAGGGCTGCCCCATGCAGAGTGAGTAGGCTGCTGCTGTGTGTGTGCAGGGTTGCCCTGTCTGGAGAGGGTAAAATCTAGCACAATGCACCTCAGGCTGCATGAAGACTGCCCCTCCCAGGGAAAGGGTGGAACTAGTAGGGCGTTGAAAGGCAGGCACAAAGAGCAGCCCCACCCATACCCTGCTCTGACTTGACATTTTATGCAACAGGGCATTCACACAGGGCTGCTCCTGTGGATAGGGGCACAGCTAGTGCATGAGGAGCTGCACCGTCCAGAGAGGGAGCAGAGCTGGTGGGGTGTTGAGGCAAGCATGCAAAGCAGCCCTGCCCAGATCCTGCTCTGATCACAGTTAAAGCAACAGGGCACGCCAAGAGCAAACCAAGCAGCTCTGTCTACATAGGCAGTCTGACCCAGATTACAAGGGCAAGGAAGCATGGACACTGCAGGCTGCCCCACCCAGGACCCACTCCTTAAAGGCAGGCCACACACCAGGCACCACACACAGCTGCTTGACTACAACCAGCCTGCCAAAACTATTCAACACACAATCTACACAGAGACCACTCTTTCAAGATTGGGAGAGAGAGGTATTCTATCCAATTCACAGGAACAAACACCGAAAGTTAAAGAGGGGGGGGGGGGCAGAAGACTATGTCCCAAATGAAGAAACAAGAAAATACTCCAGAAAACAAACCCTAATGAAATGGAAATAAGTATTTTACCCTATAAAGAATTCCAAGAAATGATTATAAAGATGCTCAGCAAATTTGAGCATCTCAAATGCTCAAAAGGAACTCAGAGACCACT